AATGAAATCGTATTACCATTTTCCCTGCTGCTATTCTGAATTAAAAGTGTGCTAGGAAAGTCCCATTATTTGTTGAGCAGGTACCATATGTTATGCTTTCCTATGTTGACCTGTTGACCCCGGAAATTGGCACTCCTATTATTGAACAACACACAATGCTTCTTTTCAGTCCGTTTACTAAAGAATTGAGCAACCAGCCAAGCACAGTTTGAAATATCCATCCTGCACTCAGAGAAATATGCAAATCATGCTTCCTTTGTGCTTTGCTGCTGTCCCATAGAAGTAGATATCAGGAAGTAACTCCCTAATAATATGAAAGTGTAGAGACTGGTACATGAGAGATAAACACAGATCAGTAAACGCCTACTGAGATCTTCCAGACCTTTATTTTCTTGCTTCTCTTCTCATTTTTTGGAGCTAGAAAGAAACAAACAGGAAGATCTTCCAAAAGAGTTTGGAGTCATGAATGCAAGCGGAATTTCCCACACTTGATTTCAAAACTGTCTTTTCCCAAATATTTGTTAGTGGTTGATCATTAAACACAACCTGAAACTGGGAAGAATTCTAGAGAAAAGGCTTTCTCTGATATACAGATAGCTCTTCACTATGAAACCATTGTCCCCTCTGGTGTTCATTTTATCCTTTTTACTTTGTGCTTTTGGACAAAAGGTAAGATTTTGTTTTAAATGAAATCTCTGGTTTAGTGGCAAGAAACCTTTTATTTTCAGTACTTTGTTTATTATTTTGATTTATATCTTTGAACGTATCTGTCATGGATCTGCAATACACATAAATGTTACATAAAAGTGTTTCTTTCTTCTAGCAAGAGACAGACCTGGTAGAAGAATGTGTGAACAAGAGCTATACTCAGAATTCCTGTGCAAAGATTTTCTGCCATCCATGGCAGAGGTGTGTAAAAGGGACCTGTCTCTGTAAGCTGCCCTACCAATGCCCCAAAAATGGGACATCAGTTTGTACGACCGACAAGGCAACTTTCCGAACTTACTGCCAGCTGAAAAGCTATGAATGCCAACGTAAAAAGGGCAAGTTTATGCACAGAGGAAGCTGCAACCTTCAAGGTAAAAAGATTCTGTTTCTCTTTTGGGGTTTTATATCAATCATTGGTATGGAGAGGGACAAGCTTTTAGGATGGAGAATGAAAGCAGATTGGAATCCTCAATGTTTCACTAAATGTGTGAAACAACATTTAATATTTTTATATAGGTCAAATTTACACAATTGTTTGCAAAGAACTGGCATTGGGGGCAGAGGAATGTGGCCTCTAGAACATGGCCATATAGCCGGAAAAAACCTACAACAACCCAATGAGGTCTTGATTTGAATAGCAGAGTAAGGGGCACATGCATTATTTGTAATAGGCAAAATATCTCATTGGGACTTTTTACTTTTACTTACAAATTGTTTCTTATGACATGTTAATTTAGCAATATATGTAAATTACATTTAGTTCAGCAATTATTCTGTTGGGAGTGCTTTGGTTGTGTGTTCCTGCATTTCAGGAGGTTAAACTGGATGGCCCTTGTGGTCTCTTCCAATTCCAATTCTATATTTTCTAGTTTTTTTCTTGGGTACAATTACCTTAGTAGGCTACTTGTGGATTTTGATCAATTTTCATATATTGAATGAGTATAAATTGTAATATATTTTCTTTTTTATAGAGACTTTTAGAGTTCTTTTGGAACCTAAAAATACATCTTCAGAAGGAATTGTTCAAGTCGAATTGAAAGACTCTGAGAAGGCATTTATATGTGGAGAAGGATGGGGTATACAAGAGGCCAACGTAGCCTGCAAGGAGCTTAACTTTCCAGAGTAAGAAATTCTTGCACAAAGTGGAATGGAAGGATCTTGAAGCTGATTACTGTGATCTTTAAAGGATAGCACCACTAATTAGCAAAGTACCAGAATCCTCTGTATTGGCTTGGCTATAGATAAAAGCAATCTTTCCTAACCCTGTGCCCCCCAGATTTTTATAATAGTTCCCATCATGGTGAGCCTTCATTTAACAAGTCTGGGTTACCTGGCACTTGCAAAATCATATACATGCATTCTAACTCAGGTATAGACAAACTTTGGCCCTCCAAGTATTTTGGACTGCAACTCTCATAATTCCTAACAGCTAGAAGGGTGGGATGTTTCAAAGACTCTTGCAAAGACTCTTTCCTCTTTGACCACTGAGGAAGTTAAAGCCAGAAATAGCTGGTATATATTGTCCTTCAAACACTGATAATACTTAATGTGTGTGTTTTATATTTCCTTGCACAGAGGGGCTGATCGCATAGAACTTATTAATCCAGATAATGCCTCAAAGCCACTGGAATGCCTTAAGGCAACTTGCAGAGGGATAGAGACCAGTTTGGCTGAGTGTGCTGTAAGTCGGTTGAATCAAAGTGATGTGAAGTTGGCAAAGGTGGCGTGCCACACACGGCATAAAGGTTAGTATACCAAGTTGAGGGGATGTACAGTCAGACAAATTTGTTGTTATAATGGGACTTGCAACAACATGTTACATGCAATACTCCTTCTAGCCATGACATGTTTTGGAATATATCAATTTTTCTGAGTTACTGCAATAAGACATGCAATATTCTATAGTTGCTAAATATTGTCACTTCCCATTGGGCTGTTTTGGGAAAATACACTGTATTCCTAGGCTTCTTCTTAAATTTTCTGCTTTGGTAAATCTCAGAAACCCCTGAATAAAATCTTCCTTCTTTCCTCAGCACCTCAATTTAATACCATAAATCAGCATATATTAGGGGTGGGGAAATTGTTAAATAAAAGTGGACAATTTTAATGCCTGAGCACTCCATAACATTCTTTGACAGAGCATTTGCAAAATGAAATATAATCTGAAAGCAAAATTAGACATTCACTTCCTTATAGAAAATATTTTACTGAAATACTCTTTCTCATTCCATTTTACAGAATGTTCCCGCAGTGAATTCCGTTGCGTCAATAGCAAATGCATCCCTTTAGATAAAACATGTGATGGAATCAATGATTGCGGTGACTTAAGTGATGAAGTATGTTGCAAAGGTATACTATATGTCTCCTCATATATATCTGTTCAATGTGTTAGCCAATGTGTTGGCCATCTTTTCAATGTGTTGAAGGAAGTGCTTCAAAGATACTTCAAAGTTGTGTCAGACAAATACATAAAAATTGGTCTATATAGACTAGTGGTTCCCAACCTGTAGTCTGTGGACCACCAGTGCTCCCCAAGAACTAAAATATGGTCTGTAGCCTCACTGTTACAACGCCATTGCAACAAGAGCTACTGGTCTCGGGAAAACCCTCTTATAAGGGCCAAGGCAATGGGGTTGTTAGGAGGAGAGAGGCTGACTACCCATGAAAGGCATGACAACAAACCTCCTGACTGCTACTTCTCCCTCCCTAGAGCAGAGCCATTCCATGTGACACCTGGAAGCAGGAGTGCCTTTGAGTCTTTGTTTTTAGACCTGTTCCTGGGGTTATTTGGGGTGCTGATTCAGGAAATTGCATCGGATTTTCTATAGATTATTAAATATGGTTTTCTATGGGTGAGCAGATGGCAACTACAGGATAGCATATGTTCTGTATCAGAAAGTAGAGCTGATATGGTCTGTCCAATGCAATTTTCTGAATCAGCACCTCAAATAACTATACTGAATCTAAAATTGACCAAAAACTGATTGGTACTAATGTTGGAGAGTGGTCCCTGGTCAAAAAAAGGTTGGAAACTGCTTATCTAGACTGATTCTTAAACAAGACATTAGAAGACACATTGTGTTTCTCGATCGGTTTACACAGTAATTAGATTTTTATGCTGTCTTTAAGCCAAATTTAAATCAAGGATCTAATCCACGTTATGGAATTCTTTCCCACAGCTCCCTTTCTGTTCTCCTTCAGTGAGCAGTCTAATACCTTTTTTTTATTCAGACAGGTTTTTCAGACTATTGAAAAACTGGCTTTTACATAATACTATCCCAATTAACCACCTGTTGCCCCCTTTTTCAGTTCCATATTACATTTTCCTACTTTGCCTTCAATTTACTAAATTTTCTACAAACTGAATACAAAGTGCAACAGTAGTTTGGATTCAGTTAATTCAACAGAAGAAAAAGAGACAGGGGAAATCATTCTTTTCCCAGTTGACTCAGGCAAAAGCTAACTGCTGCCGTCTTTTCTAGTTTTGTGTGTTTTTCCTCTTTAATTACCTTTACTATGACCACACCCTGATGTTCCTTGGACACACATGTCACTGGGTTGCTGTGAGTTTTCCAGGCTGTATGGCCATGTTCCAGAAGCGTTTTCTGCTGACGTTTCACCCACATCTATGGCAGGCATCCTGAGAGGTTGAGGGGTCTGTTGGAAAATAGCCAAGTGTTGTTTATATATCTGTAGAATGTCCAGGGAGGGAGAAAGAACTCTTGTCTGCTTGAGGCAGGTGTGAATGTTGCAGTTGGCCACCTTGATTAGTATTGAATGGCCTTGCAGCTTCAAAGCCTGGCTGGTTGCTGCTGGGGAATCCTTTGTTGGGAAGTGTTAGCTGGCTCTGATTGATTCTTGTCTGGAATTCCCCTGATTTTTGAATGTTGCTCTTTATTTACAGTCCTTTAGTGACACATGTCACTGTTTATACCTGTGAAATCTTACAGAGTTTGCTTTGCATGGCACTTTTTTGGAATGTTTAAAAATTCTTTTGAACTGTTTACCTTGCATATCTTGAAATGCCTTGATCTGATGTATAAATAGTTTGGTATAATCATTTTGATATTTATGAGTGTTACCCTTTTATGAGATGGATGATATATTTCCAATAGCATGCAAAGGAGACAGCTTCCACTGCAATTCAGGTGTGTGCATTCCAAACAAACTCCGCTGTAACAACGAAAGGGATTGCCTAACAGGAGAAGATGAAAGTCACCAATTGTGTAAGCCTAGTTTTTTTCAATTATTTTTTTTAATTGTAAACACAGGTAGAATAATGTCAGTTTAGGTAACCATTTCATAGTGCAAACAGAATATTATTCACTTAATTTTATTAACATTTCCAATTGCTCATTTATCTCTCACATGTGTCTAACAATATTACTCCCCTCCCCGTCCCTCTCCCCCTTCCCTTCGTTCAAATATTATTTTAATTGATTGATCGTGGAGAGCGTATGATTCAGTTCCTATCAGTCTGTTTAAAGGTAACTTTTGCTCTCTTAGTCATATCTGGAAAGCATTATCTGAAACCAAATGCTTACAAAGAAAGACAGTCTACAGAATTATCCTGGTATGTTTTGGTCATTTCGGATGCTCTTGGTTTCCATATCTTTGATTATATATTAATGTCCTTGTTTCAAACAGGTAATGGAAGACATGCGGAAAATGAAAAAGGTGATATTTTTTGTATTGTTATTGTTTTGCTGTTCTACTTAGCATCTCATGTTTAAAGGGTAGTTGGAACCATATTGAATGGTTCCTTCTCAGTTGTGCAAAGTAAACAGTAAAGTTGTAAGATCTGGAAAATTACTCTATACAGAGTTTAATTAATATGGCACACTAGTCTCCTTACCCCCAGACCTTGGAAAAGTTACCTTTTGGGATTTCCAAGTCTGCATGACTATTTAATGTGCTTATTGGGGTATCATGGGAGAAGTACTCTAAAAAGTTACTTCTTCAAGCTCTAGTTCAGTGCTCCATTCTGTGGAATCTTGGGGTTTATAGTTTTATATTGACTTTAGCATTTTCTGCTGTAGAATTCCAAAGCCTCATCAGAGGACCATTCTCAAAATTTCATAGGCTACAGCAATGGCATTTACTAAATTGCTGTAATTGCATTTGAGAACTCATTTTGCGCTTGAGCCCATACTAGCAAATTTTACATGCAAATGTTTCCAGTTTTTCAACATTATCCCCTGCTAATGCTTACAAAATCAAACAACTGCTAAAGGCTAGCTGGAACAAACAGTGAAAAGTTGACAGCTTCATAACAAACATTGACATGTCATTGAAGGAGATGAAACTAAGCAGTTATTTTAGTAACAACAGTTTAATTATTTGTAAAATTTTATTTTACTGCAGAAGAAACAGAACAAGCTGAATACTCAATGGATGAAGGTAATTCTGCTTTATAATTTTCATATAAGGATACAAAGTTTGTAGCTTTAGGTTAGAAAATGGTAAATAAAGGAGACATGATAGATGTTTGGAAAATTAGGCATGGTATAGAAAAAGTTAATAGGATCTCAGATGATCTTTTGCAATTGTTCAATTATTAATTACTGTTTCCCCCTATGTATTTGCTGAATGTATTTACTGAAATATATATGAATTGTATGTCCACCCATGTCAAGTTGGATGCTCACAGGACAGCAGACGATGCACCTTGGAAACAAACCTTACAGCTTCTTTTGAAGCTGACAAGAACTGGCTGAAATATTAAACATTCAATGGCCTGACAGATCAGACATAAAAGCAATGAAATCCTAAAACTTAATAAAATTAAAGCAGATCAGGACTCTCTCAGGAGGGCATTTCAGAGCTGCAGGACAGAAGGTCAAAGGCAGTATGCCAAGGATGAAGAACATCTGGTGGGCAGGCTTCATTCAGGCTGCTAGTGCCTCCTCCATCCCAACCCTCTCCTTCCCCAAGGGCCATTCCCTGCACCAGCACAAAATGTGTTCAGCTGCTTATCAAAATAATGTCTAGATTTTGGGCTGTAACCTAGCCAAAAGGAGACAGAAACAAAAAGGTAGACAAAGAATAAGAGATAAAATGTTTGGCATTGAAATGCAAGAAGAAAGCTGAACTTGCTCTTTTTTTTGGCTATTCCTATGGACGTTACTTTCTTTAGGAATATGATCCCTGTTGGAAGTTGTGCACTTCTTTTGAAAACCCTTTTGCTCCAATGTGGTCAATTTTGTAAATAACTTGATAAATCCTAAACCTTTTATTGTGCTCTCTTCCACTTGCGTAATAAGATGCACCAGTGATCAGTATTTCTCAACCTTCCTAATGCCTCAACCCTTTAATATAGTTCCTCATGTTGTGGGGACTCCCAACCGTAACGTTATTTTTGTTGCTACTTCATAACTGTAATTTTGCTACTGTTATGAATCATAATGTAAATATCTGATATGCAGGATGTATTTTCATTCACTGGACCAAATTTGGCACAAATACACGATACGCCCAAATTTGAATACTGGTGTGGGGGGATTGATTTTGTCATTTGGGAGTTGTAATTGCTGAGATTTATAGTTCACCTACAATCAAAGAGCATTCTGAACTCCATCAATGATATAATTGAACCAAACTTGGCACACCGAACTCCCATGACTAACAGAAAATACTGGAAGGGTTTGGTGGGCATTGACCTTGAGTTTTGGAGTTGTAATTCACCTACATCCAGAGAGCACTGTAGTCTCAAACAATGATGGATCTGGACCAAACTTGGCATGAATACTCAGTATGCCCAAATGTAAACACTGGTGGAGTTTGGGGAAAATAGACTTGACATTTGGGAGTTGTAGTTGTTGGGATTTATAGTTCACCTACAATCAAAGAGCCCCTTGAACCCCACCAATGATAGAATTGGACCAAACTTCCCACACAGAACCCCCATGACCAACAGAAAATACTGTGTTTTCTGATGGTCTTTGATGACCCCTCTAACACCCCCCTCGCGACCCACTCAGGGATCCCGACCCCCAGGTTGAGAAACTATGCTATAGAGGGAGTTCCACAACCTTTGGTCCTTCGGGTGTTTTGGACTGCAGCTCCCACAATTCCTAACATCTGGTAAACTCACTGGGCTTTCTGGGAGTTCAGGTGCAAAACACCTGGAAGACCAATGATTGGGAACCACTGCCTTAGAGGAACTAAAAAAAGAAGTAATGGGAAGCAAATGATAAGAAAATTACAAACCAAGTGAATGTGCTACAAAAATAACACTGTTTCTCTCTTTGATTAAAGAAAGAAGAAAGATCAAAACCTTTTTACCACAACTGCACTGTGGCATAGCAAACCGCACTGTTACTCGCCGGAAACGAATCCTAGGAGGAAATACTGCACAAAAGGTAAAGGAAGAAGGTTAACAGCTTATAAAAAAACCTACTACAGTTAACTCCCCACATCCACTGGGGTTAGAGGAGTAGGAGAGCATGAAAGTGGAAATGTGAATTAAAAATACTGGGTTTATTACCTGAGATAATCCAACCCTAGGAGACTCTAAGATATTTTAACACAGCTCTATAGTCCAACTGGAGAAGTTAGAGATTTCCAGAGAGAACATATCAATTAAATCTGTGACTAATCAAATCTTCAAAAGTTCAACCTGAAATTTGAGGAGCTGACTGTATAATGGCAGTGCTAAATTAGTCATAAATATAGTGGCAGATTTTCAAAATAACCATAATGGATAGTGAAAACTCATGACATGCAGGCTTGATACTCAGGAAGTAGCTAATAACTAGTTCTACCTAAGTAACAAATGAAAGTATTCATTCTGTAAAATTAACTTACTGTCTGCATCCACAATGTACATAACACACATTTCTGTCCTTAAATAAATATGGTTTAGGCAACTCAAGTTGTCTGTATAAAAGGAAAACCTTTCTAATTCCCATTTGTTCATTCATCATCATTGTTGTGTGTATTTATATCTCACTCCCCCTCCAAAAAAATTTGTATCAATAAAGTCCACAATTTAAAGGAAAGGTAAAGTAAAGATTTCCCCTGACATTAAGTATAGTCGTGTCCAACTCTGCGGGGTGGAACTCATCTCTGTTTCTAAGCTGAAGAGCCAGCATTGTTCGTAGACACCTCAAAGGTTGTGGTCGGCATGACTGCATGGAGTGCCATTACTTTCCCACAGAAGCGGTACCTATTGTTCCACTCACATTTGCATGTTTTTTAACTGCTAGGTTGGCAGAAACTGGGCCTAACAGCAGAAGCTCACCCCGCTTCCTGGATTCAAACTGCCACCTTTCGGTCAGCAAGTTCAGCAGCTCAATGGTTTAACCCGCTGTGCCACCAGGGGCAATAAAGTACAATACAATTCAAAACATAAAAAGTGAACATAACAATATTTACAGTATTAAAACAATTCAAGTTAAAATAATTGAATGCAAGTAAAAAGATGAAAAACTCTTTAAAACAATTCAGTTAAAACAATAGAACACCCCCTAGCATGTTACTTTAAAAAAAAAACCCTTCCTTTTCTAAAAGCCTGTCTGAACAGGCTTTTAGAAAAGGATTAAGATTCTCCGGGGAGGCGCTGCTCACCATCCCGCCATCGTCGATTGGTGGGGACGAGAGACAGGGTCTTTTCGGTGATTGCCTCCCGCCTATGGAACTCCCTTCCTGGTGAGATCCCTCCCTTCTGTTCTTCAGAAAGATGGTAAAACTTGGCTATGGGACCAAGCTTTTGGAACAGTGCAATAAGGCAGCGATAGGAAACTTTACCAAGCCAATTTAGATTTGACGCAGATGACCAAGATGGTTTTAAACAGTGTATTTTAATATTTGATAAATGCACCACATGTTTATGTATACTCATATGAATTCTTGTCCCTGCATTGAATGTTTGCCGTTTATTTATTTATTTATTTATTTATTTACAGTATTTATATTCCACCCTTTTCACCCCGCAGGGGGCTTAGGGCAGATTACAATGTACACATATATGGCAAACATTCAGTGCCAAAGACACACAACAGATATAGACAGAAATAGATTCCATATGTACAGCCACCTTGAGTACCCTTCAGGGTGGAGAAAGGCAGGATACAAATAGAATAAATAAATAAATAATAGCATTAATCTCTCTTATCATAGAAATACAAGGAGGCAACCATTCTAGCCTCCCTGGGAAGAGAACTGAAAAGTCTAAAACAGCCATCAAGAAAGTTCTCTGACATTCCCAGGAATTGTGCTTGTGATGGTGGTGGGACTTAGGACCCTTCTACACTGCCATATAATGCAGTTTGAAACTGCATTATATGGCCAGTGTAGATTCATATAATGCAGTTCAGTGCAGTTGAATTTCTTTCTATGAGTCTACGTTAACTATATAGCATGGTTAGAAACTGCATTATCAGAGCCCAGGCCATCTCATCTAGGGAGAAATTATCTGCCAAATAGCCTAGACCTTAGCCATACATGGCATTATGAGTTATAGTCAGCACTTCAAATCATTCATTTGTTATAAAACTGCCAAAAACAACTCTTAACAAATGCTACAAACCATGTGTATTGACAAGTAATACTGAGAGCAGGAAAGTTTTAATTTTTTAAAAAAATTGTTTCTATGGGTAACAGAAACCTGGAATGATTCAATACCTCTTTTTGTACAGGATGAATTTCCCTGGCAAGTAGCAATTAGAGGTGAAAGAGAAAGAGTGAGTTGTGGAGGGGTTTATATTGGAGGCTGCTGGGTTTTGACTGCAGCACATTGTGTGAGGTAAGTGGCTTGAATGGTTTAAGAAACACCTTTGTAATAAAAATTATTTTAAAAAAATCAACATTGCCTCTATCATACAGGAAAGAGGAAGAAAAGAAGAATTAAAGATAAATCGTCATATCTAAACTTTAATTCTAACTAATCAAAACAAATAGCGTGGTTGAAGAAAAATATCATAAACCACCTAATACATCCAAACATCCACAATACATCCAAACCACTCGAAACAGAGAATTTGGATGATATCTTAAAACATATCTTTCCAAAGTATTTTATGCTCTGGTATAATCACAATACATTCAAAGTCGATGTCCAATACAGTTTCACTTAACACAGTACCAAAACGTGCATATACTATAATCAAAGTCCTGACCTCATACATGATGAAATAATGTGTATTTCATCTTAAATGTAAAAGATGTTTTCAACAATAAGTGGGAATAGTTAAAGGTATATTGTGCTTGTAAAGTCAATGCAGCCAAGTTCTATCTCACATTTGGACCTGGCTGTCACCTACCCTTAGTAAGAATCCTTTATCCCTTGTTTCTAAAGTTAGATGCTTATCCACTGTGTAAATAATATCAAATAAATGTAACCTTTACAAGATGTGGTTACATTGCATACTCATGGTGCATCTCAGCTGTAGGAGTAATGCAGTTTGATACATTAACTGTTACAGCTCAATGCTAATGGGATCGTGGGAGTTGTACTTCTTCAAGGTCTTTCGCCTTCTCTTCCAGAGAGTGCTTCACCAAATGATAACTCTCATGACTCCATAGTATTGAGCATGGCCATTGTGTCAAATTACATGAATTCTACAGTGTAGATGAGCCTTCAGTGGCTGACAGTTGCCTAAAAGGTAGACCTCGGGGATTTAAAAAACAATAATTAAAAGCAGGTGACTCAACAGCAACAGAAAAAGAAGACATGAAAGGCACCACATGACTTTCATGCTAGTATAGATAAAAAATAAACAATAAACAACTCACATTTTTAAAATTGAAAATATTTTTCAATTTTTAAAGTATTAACTTTTTTGCAAAATGAAAAATATTAATGTTCCTGAGAAATTCTTGAAGTAGTAAAGGTAAAGGTTTCCCCTGATATTAAGTCTAGTCTGGTACAACTCTGGGTGGTGGTGCTCATCTCCATTTCTACGCCGACGAGCCAACATCGTCCATAGACACCTCCAAGGTCATGTGGCTAGCATGTCTGCATGGAGCACCATTATCTTCCCATACCTATTAATCTACTCACATTTGCATGTTTTCAAACTGCTAGGTTAGCAGAAGCTGGAGCTAACAGTGGGAGCTCACCTTGCTCCCCAGATTCTAACCACCAACTTTTTGGTCAGCAAGTTCAGCAGCTCGGCGGTTTTAACCCGCTGCTCCACCAGGGGTCCCTGATGAGGCAGTAACATGCTCAAAATGGCAATTACATATTAAAAATTGTTATTTAGGGCCTTATTGCACAAGGTAGGTAAAGTGAAATTGTGTCTGCATAATAGTGCCTTCTGCTAAAGCAGTGGTTCTCAACCTGGGGTCCCCAGATGTTTTGCCTTCAACTCCCAGAAATCCTAACAGCTGGTAAACTGGCTGGGATTTCTGGGAGTTGTAGGCCAAAAACATCTGGGGATCCCAGGTTGAGAACCACTGTGCTAAAGCTTCCCACAAGATATTGTCATTCTTTGGTTGTTGTCCAGTAGAACACCATTTTAATAGTGATTCTTTTTACTAACACATTCACACACACACATGTGCTATTGATCTGCTTTCCCACTTCCACACAATGATGCCCTGTGCAAAAGTTCGCAAGATGCCAATTATGGGCAGTCAAGGAAAGGTCAGTAGTTGTGTGCTTTGGGTGGGGGATCTAACCCCTTTCTGAAATCTCTGTTGTTCCAATGCTACCATGCTATGGTAGCACCTCATTTTCCTTCTTACACACACATGATGCTATAAAATTAGGATATGTAGAATCAAAGTAGAAAAGAAGCACAAGATAAAAGAATGCAATTCTTGTCTTTGGCTTTCTATTTGTCCTCTTCCATGTATGAGTAATTCCCGAGGTACCTTCTACAACAATATGAACGCAAATATGGTGTAGAATGAGGATAAAGAAACAATGAGAAGAGGCTGAGATAATGTTGGAGGAGTTAGTCTCTGTGTGATAAGGTTTGGGCACTAATGGGCACTGTAATCCCAGAATGATTTTGAAAAGTGCACAAGGAAGATAGTAATTTTGATTGCATAGCAATTTTACAGACAATGCAATTGTAATAAAGCTCATAGAAAGGTCAGAAGGGATTTAGATACCCAAGGCCACCTGGGCTATCAGTCAACTGGTTACTTGCTACAGGATTGATGCTCATTAACGTTAACAAAAATATAGGATGGTGTTGACAATTCTTACCAATCAGACATCCATGAGAATCATGAAGTCTCCTGGATATGATTTATGGTAATCTGATTAAAACAAAGCACTATACATATATTTGTAGAACTTTGCTGCTCAAGATAAGATCACTGTAGTAAAGATGGAGAAGGAACTGTGATGGTTTGGGGAGCAAGTTTCTAAATGCAATAAACACAAAAATAGAAAGCAAAAGTGATCTTTAAAAACAGGAACCTTTGTGTTAAATGTAAGCTGTTTGCCAAATTCAGTAATTGGACATTTATCCCAGGGTAATATTGTTTTGTTTTGTTTCTGCAGAGCAAGTCGTACACATGTGTATAAGATATTTACTGGAATGTTGAATTCAGTAAGAACAAATGATGGAATAGAAACATTTTATTTAAAAAGAATTATAATCCATGAAAACTATAATTCCAAAACGTATGAAAATGACATTGCGTTGCTGGAGTTGAGACCCAAGGACCTGGGAAGATGTCAGCCACCCAATTCTGTGCCCGTATGCATCCCTTGGTCACGATATATGTTCAGAAGCGGTCATCAGTGCAAAGTGTCTGGCTGGGGATTTGATGAAGGTAATCCTTTGTCTATCAATAGGCAGTCACATGAGGCCAAGTATGATGGTCTTCTAAGAGCAGAGTCTTGGTGGTGGGTCTATAAATAGCTGTGGAGACCTATTCTGGATCCACATGTTCTTTCACAATGAGGACATAGATTTCCAGATGGAAGAAGGTCATGACAAAGGTTTGCTTGACATGCCTTCATCTTGACATGTTTCCCCTTTTGCCCTGCCTCCTCATATACTGGCAGACCAAAGTGGCAGCTTTCGAAATCTTTCCTCCTGAGACATTTCCCTCTCTTAGTGGAAGATGCTCGCATGTTGCTAATGTTAAAAAGAGATCTAGCCACCGATCAGTTCCTATACCTTTTGGTTATCTGCCATGTGAACTGGGTATCACATCCCAACTGCACTTGTGACTCTGAGGTTGAGGAAAAGGTAAAGGACACTTTAACCTCAGACAGCATATCAACAAGCCTTGTTTCTAAACCCAAACCCCACTATCCTGACTAAACAGAACAAACTGCAGCCTTGTAGACGTTAATGTATAACAGTTCCCATCAGCTCTAATCATGATACCTAATGATGAGGAATACAAGAGTTGTAGTGCAACATCTGGAGGGCCACATAAAATGACATGGTGGGCCAGATTCATCCCTGGCATTTGACACATGTGCTTTAGGCCAACCTGGGTAGGCCAAAAGCATCCAGTTGCTTTACTAGTTAAGCCTTGAAGAGTCTTCTTTCACAGGCACTTCTTCCATTATAATGACTGTGTCTATTCTCATCCAGTTGCTTTACTTGCTAAGCCTTGAAGTGTCTTCTTTCACAAGCACTTCTTCCATTATAATGACGTGCCCATTCATTTCTTGTACCTGCTTACTGCAAACTGGATCGCTTACATTCCTGGGAGTTCTTAACTGCTGCTCCATGTAGTTGACATGTCAGCTAAATAACGTAGAAAGGGTAAAGCAGGATCACTCCAGCCACTGGTGAATGGAGTAGATTTGGGGTCATCTGATGTATCAAGGAGACATGGCAGTCTATAGGGAATCTGTTAGGATAATACAAAAAAAAAATCACAATTTCAAAAATATATTACGTGTTTCTTTTCATCCTATTTTTTCCTCTCTAGCTTTTACAAGACAATATGCCCTTAAGTGGGGGTATGTTTATTTAATGGAAAACTGTTCGGCCATCTACAAAAACCGTTATTTTGAAGGAATGGAATGTGCAGGTAAGCATGTATTTGGACTTACATGCTCACGCAAACTCATGAGCCAGTACTAAAGGGGCCAAGAGTCTTGAATTACCTTTAACTTAAATTTAAGTTTAGCGAGATAATTGGGGACTTCATTTCAGTGACAAAAATGCTTCTGACTTGACTTCCAGGTCATCCCCTGAAATGGCCAGATGGGGCCAAAATATGGGTTGAGAGGGGCAGGGTACAAATATCTGAAATAAATAAATAATAAATTCTTTAAGAAGCATTTTGAAGTGGAAAAAAACAGGAGGGGCCCTTGGGGCCATAAAAGTGACCCTAACAAGAACACATTCCCCTCCCTCTCCCTTGGCCTAGAAGCTTCTGGATATATTATTTGCCATTGGAAGATTATGGCAGTTAGAAGGGTCTGAAGACTTCATGAGACTCATGGACTACTCTTTGTCCATCCTGGCTTTAAGCCAGATACAAGGGTGTTAGAACAACTACTTCAATGAAAATAGAAGCCCGCCATTCATTTGAATTATAATGTCAAAAGCGGGAAAATATGCATCTGATAATTGTTTTCCCCCTCTTTTCAGGTACACATGATGGCTCTGTAGATTCTTGTAAAGGTGACTCAGGTGGACCTTTGGTTTGTTTTGACTCTGACAATGTGGGATATCTTTGGGGTATTGTGAGCTGGGGTGAGAATTGTGGCGTCAAGGGCTACCCTGGTGTTTATACAAAAGTGGCTGATTATTTTGATTGGATTGGCTTTCATACTGGAATTTCTCTCATTACTCGATATAACGTGTGATTTTGGGAATGAAAGTAAATCCAATGGACCACAATAAAACATTAAAAACGTATACAGCATTCAACCTTAATCTAATAACAGTTAAGCCCTATCTGCTCCAATGAGAGACACATATAGCACAATCTTATATGTTTATTCAGAAGTAAGTTGTGATAGAGTTAGCAAGGCTTACCTCTAAATAAGCATGTATAAAATTGTGGGTTTATGCCTACTAAAATAATATGATGTAAAGTGATTAACTCTACCTGGATTGTGCCACAGAATATTACCAGTTATGACTCAGTCCATTTTTCATTTAAATTCTGATGACCTTCTTTAAAGGGGGCAAATTCTGATGGCCTTCTATAAAGGTCCATATTGTTGTACGTTAGATGTTAAATCTGAATAAAAGCACTGCATACACCAATGAAAAGTTGAAGTGGGGTTTTTATTGTGATCTGACAACTGATAACTGGCAAACAGAGGGAGAAAATGTGGAGGTAGTGGCAGACTTTGTATTGCTAGGCACAAAGATTACTGCAGACACAGACTGCAGCCAGGAAATCAGAAGACTTTTACTTCCTTGGAGGAGAGCAATGACCAATCTCGAAAAAATAATGAAGAGTAGAGACATCACACTGGCAACGAAGATCCGCATAGTTAAAGCAATGGTATTCCCCATAGTAACCTATGGATGTGAGAGCTGGACCATAAGGAAGGCTGAGCGAAGGAAGATAGACGCTTTTGAACTGAGGTGCTGGAGGAAAATTCTGATAGTGCCTTGGACTGCGAGAAGATCAAACCAGTCAATACTCCAAGAAATAATGCCCAGCTGCTCACTGGAGGAAAGAATATTAGAGGCAAAGATGAAGTACTTAGCCACATAATGAGAAAACAGGAAAGCTTTGAGAAGACAATGATTCTGGGGGAAATGGAAGGAAAAAGGAAGAAGGGCCGACCAAGGGCAAGATGAATGGATGGCATACTTGAAGTGACTGGCTTGACTCTGAAGGAGCTGTGTGGGTGGTGACAGCTGACAGGGAGCTCTGGCGTGGGCTGGCCCATGACCCTCCCCCTCCCCCGCAATTTATCTGCAGGAAAATATTGTTAAATAACTCAGAATGAGAGAACATGATTGGCCATGGCTAATTGGGGGCACAGGGTGGATCTACATTGTAGAATTAATGCAGTTTGACACCAGTTTAACTGCCATTGCACAATGCTATGGACTCAAGTGAATTATAGCTTCACAAGGGCCAGTGTCTCACCGAATTACAAACCCCAGAATTCAATAGCATTGAGCCATGGCAGTTAAAGAGGCTCCAGGCTGCTATAATTCTGCAGCATACATCCAACCTAGGTCTCCTATAGCTTCATGCAACTCTTATACAGGCTCACTGTTACACATAGGCTCTTCAGCCCCTTCTTCTCTCTCTATGAGGGCCCTTCCACACAGCCCTATATCCCAGAATATCAAGGCAAAAGATCCCACAATATCTGCCTTGATAATTCTGGGTTATCTGATAGATACATTGCCATATATTCTAGTTCAAAGCAGTTAATGTGGGATTTTCTACCCTGATATTCTGGGATATAGGGTTGTGTGGAAGGACTCTGAGTCTATACCAAGCACCACATGAATTCACTTTAATATTTTTATCTATTATTATTATTATTATTATTATTATTATTATTATTATTATTTTCTATAAAATGAAAGAAAATGCAGATGAACCTATGAACTCTTGAGCAATTCCAGAAGCCCCTTCTGTGCCCTGTGTGAGAACCAGAAATGGGACCTAATCTGGGGGACAAAGGACCTTCCTGGATCTCAGTGGGGATCCAGCTGCCAGCTGCCCAGCATTTCCCCTCCAGGGGTCACTGATATCCACGAGACAAAAGTCTAGGATGAAACTCCAATTACAAGCACATCAACACATATACATCTTTGAGACTCTTGGTCTCCTACCGTGGAAAGATGTCTCAGACAGCAACTCCTATTGTGTTCTCCAGCTGGGCCCCAGTATCTGCATAATTATGTCAGATCAGTTTTTGCTTTGCTTTCCACATTCAAACACCACCTACCAAAGGGTTGGCGCAACCTCTAGTGTCCCCTCCCTCCCCTAGATCCCTCTGCCAGTCCATTGGAAGCCTCAGGGCCTCCCTGCCCAGCTGGGAGGAGATCCCCAGCTATGTCACTGCTGCCCCCTCCAATTAGGTTGAGCTCTAGCTTGGACCTGCCTCCTGACCAATCAGAGGCTTGGGGGATGCCAGTCAGTTTCTCAGTGCCTACCAATCAGGCAAAAGGGAGTGAGTTTCAAAACAGAACAATGTCAGTGAATGGGAATCTATGCATAAAAATGTCTGCTTATCATTATGCTTTCATTATGTTTTTACACTTATACCCTTCAGACATACGTGCTGTACAAGTGTCCCGTTTGTGCAAATTGAATAAAGTTTCTGTTGTTTGCCTTCAATGTGGTGAGATTATCGGTTTCTGGTTCCTGATTTGTGCCATCCGCGGTTAGTGAAGATTGGCAGGCATCCTTTGGTATCCATGGGACTTAGAAAAACTCAAAATTTTGTCATCAACATTGAGAGTGCTCTTACACAGACCATATAATGCAGTTGGAAGTCAGCTTGAGGATGAGATGGCTACAAAAACCATACTCCCAATGTATGCTGTAGCATGAATTAAGCCAGAAACAGCACATTACAAATTCACCAGAAAGTCCAGAATAAATCAGATAATGCTCTACAGACAAACAGAGTACAGGCAGTTCCCAATTTACAAACATCCAACTTCCAAAAGATTCATAGTAAAGAACGGGGGTGAGACAACAGGAAGTGAGAGAAATCTGTACCTAGGAAGGGACATTTGTCAGTATTTTACTGGGAAGTGTGGGCGTGCTTTTGGCTGATGTGATAGTCAAGTTAATTAGGATTATTATTACTGTGTGCCTCCAAGTCGTTAGAGAGGTGCTAGGTCTAAAGTTCAGGGAGAGAGGTGGGTAAATGACCTTGGAGGGTCACATCTAGCCCGTGGGCCTTATTTTGGGGACCCCTGCCTTAAAGTCTGTAGTAAAACTCAAAATGGAATCATTGTCTCGTGACAAGAAATCCACCAATCTCTACTTTACTGTTCTTTCCCCTCTTATAAGGAAATCAGTACTACCCTTTCCTGTAGTTATATAAGAATACGGTCATGTGATACCATTATTTGTTGACTTTTTAAAAATTCTAGATTTTGTTACCCTGATCTACTGAATCAGGAAATTAGCACTCCCATTTCTGCAGACAATACTGTTACTATCCATGTGCCAAGGAACTGGTCAACTGATTAAACAAAAACTTGGAATATCATTCACTTGTCAGGTAAACACACAAATAGTAACCAATCATCATTTGAACTTTCTGACTGTTCCAGAAATGTAAGTGCCGGGAAATTAGGGAGGACGGCTGGGTGGAGAAATTGCTCCAAGTGCCAGATGTGGAGGGAAACCAGTCGCTTCCTGAGTCCTTCAGCCTACAATTGCTCTCAGTTATAATGGAAGATGCTATCACATTTCTAAAATCAAAGTAATATTGAACTATTTGTCCTGTTTGTGCCCGTGTATGGAATGAGGGTGAGGTAGGATGCATTTCAGACTTTGCTTTGAGCAACTAAGCATCTTAGAAATAACCCTTGGGAAAATTGGTACTACTGTTGTTTACCTTCAAGTTCTTTTTGACTTGTGGAAACCATATCACAGTCTTCTTGAAAAGATTTGTTTTGAAAAGGTTTGCTGTTGCCTGACTCTAAAACTGAAGGAAACCACCTTGACCTTGGTTGAGTGAGGATACAAATCCTGGTTTCAGAGTCCAGTGCTCAACCCTTACATCATGCACTAGAATCATAGAATCCTAGCATTGGAAGAGACCTTGTGGGCCATCCAGTCCAACCCCCTGCCAAGAAGCAGAAAAATGCTTGTTTAAGTGTGTGTGATGAAATCAAAGATCTTAACTGTAGGGATGAACTATAAAGTGGGACAAATAGGAACATTTCAGTTCAGAACGCTAAAAAACCGGATACATGATGGGACAACATGAAAGGCAGTGCAATGGTCAGGGAAGATGTCAGCTGGGATTGCAGTAGAGAAACAGACCAAGTTAAGCTTTGGCATTGCCCAAGCACAGTCTGGATGTAAGTCTCCTTTGTCTCAATTGCAAGAATAGCAAATTTGTTTTCACACAACTATACTTGAGAAATGTCAGTCCTAAAACACTGTTTTCTTTGAGGTTTCACATACAGTACTGTGGTTTTGCTACATGATCTGTTTGGGTGCCTAAAAACAAATCAAGATAATATGGGATTTTGGCCTGCATAAATAGGAGTCTAGTGTCTAGATCCAGGGAAGTCATGCCAGCTACCCGTCTATTCTGCTTGGTCAGACCACACCTGAAATCACACTGTGTCCAATTCTTGGCATTACAATTTAAGGGAGATGTCGACAAGCTGGAGTGTGACCAAAGGATGATAACTAAAATGATCAAGGGTCTGAAGTACAAGTCCTAAGAGGAGCGACTTAAAGAGCTTGGCATGTTTAGCTTGCAGAAGAGAAGACTGAGAGGAGACATGATGGCCATGTATAAATATGTGAGGGGAAGTCATAGGGAGGAGGGAGCAAGCTTGTTTTCTGCTGCCCTGGCAACTAGGACATAGAACAATGGCTTCAAACTACAGGAAAGGAGATTCCACCTGAACATTAGGAAGAACTTCCTGAATGTCAGAGTTGTTCATCAGTGGAACTCTTGACCCTGGAGTGAATCCTGTACCCTTTACTCTGGCCCGGCCCAGTTTGATTGTGTTTTGGTGTATTGTTTATTGCTTGTTGTTTTGTTGTTTTAATATTGCTTTAATTGTTTTAATTTGCTTTAGGTGTATTGTTATGTTGTGTATTGAGGCCTTGGCCTTTGTAAGCCGCATCGAGTCCTTCGGGAGATGCTAGCGGGGTACAAATAAAGTTAATAATAATAATAAATAATAATTGAGGCTCCTTCTTTAGGGGCTTTTAAACAGAGGCTGGATGGCCATCTGTTGGGGGTGCTTTGAATGTGATTCTTGGCAGGGAGTTGGTCTGGGTGGCCCACGAGATCTCTTCCAAATCTATCATTCTATGATTCTATGAATTGCGGAGACCCCAGTGGCACAGTGGTTTAAAGTGCTGAACTGCTCAATTTGCTGATCGAAAGCTGGCAGGTTTGAATTTGGTGATCCAGGCGAGCTCCCGCTGTTAGCCCCAGCTTCTGCCAACTTAGCAGTTCAAAAACATACAAATGTGAGTAGCTCAATACTTTACTTTAAGGTCATGTGGCTGCGGTCATGCCAGCCACATGATCTTAAAGTAGCTCCCCCTGTCCTTTATAAAGGCTAAACTCCACAGCTCCCCCTTTTGGGCCCCTCTTTCACAAATACATTTTTATTCCTATCTCACCCAGGGTTTTAACCTTCAACATTTTATCTCATACATCTGGCCCACCCTTTGTGTCTGATTTTACTATGCTATTTTATATTGTATTGTATTATTTTGGGCTTGGCCTCAGGTTAGCTGCCCCTAGTCCTCTTTGGGGAGATGGTGGCAAGTTATAAATAAAGATGATGATGATGATTATTATTATTATTATTATTATTATTATTATTATTATTAGAAACACAACAATATGAGTCCACAGCACACTTTCTGCTAGCTGTTGAATTGGATCACACGTTGGACACTTCCCAAGTGCCTAGGACTGTGTGATGTATCGGCGAATAATGCGTGGCCTTCTGCAGCTGGCAGATGGTAATTTTGTCAGCACCGATTGTTTAAATGGAGAGCAAGGTCTTTAGGCACTGCACCCAGTGTGCCGATCACCACTGGGACCACCTTACTGGTTTGTGCCAGAGTCTTTGCAGTTTGATTTTTAATCCTCATGTCAGCTTTTCCAGTTGTTTCTCTGTGATCCTGCTGTCACCTGGGATTGGGACATCCACGATCCATACTTAACACGATTGTGAGATCAGAAGTATTATTCTCCCAAACTCTGTCTGTCTGAATCCAGAAGTCCCAGAGGAGTTTGACGTGTTCATTCTCTAACTTTTTCAGGCTTGTGATCCCACCAATTTTTTGTCACAGGCAGATGGTATTTGTGGCACAAGTTCCAATGAATCATCTGAGCAACGGTGTTATGCCTCTGCTTGTAGTCTGTCTGCGATCTTCTTGCAGCAGCTGAGGATTAATAATAATAATAATTATAATTATAATTATTATTATTATTACAGGTGTCTGCGGACAAAGCCGGCTCTTTGGCTTAGAAATGGAGCTGAGCACCAACCCCCAGAGTCGGACACGACTGGACTTAATGTCAGGGGGAAACCTATGAATTCATACCTATGAATTGCGCACAGAAGGCTAAAGACTTTGTCTCATGATTCCATAACCGTTGAATCAGACTACATTCCTGCTCTAGTGCAGATGCGACCGAGACACGCACACTCCTCCAATTCTGATACACCTCAGGCGTCCCGAGCCTCCTTGCTGTTCCTTTAAGGTCCACGAGTGGGAGGGGAACCTGAGCGGAGCGTTCACCTTTCAACCCTGGCCGATCTGCCTCCCTCTTTCCGCCACGATCTTCTTCTGCTCCACCTCCCGAGGAAGGGTGGACATGGCCAGGCACCCCGCTGGGAGCCCTCCCCTTTCACGCAGGGCGCGTCACTGAGGCCGAGTGGCTGCCTTCCGCTGGAGGAGTCGGGCTCCTTTGCCGGAGGAGGCTGGCCATGGCTCAGGTGGAGGGCGCGTTGAGCCCCAGAGGCCGGTGAGTCCGCCGGGGAGGATGGGGAGGCGGGGGCCCCTGCCCGCCCTGCTCTTGGCCTGGGCTCTGCTGCTGCTGCTGCTGCTGGGGGGGAGCCCACGGGCCCGCTGCCACGAAGCCCAGACCCCCGACTGGAGGATGACGCTGAAGACCATCCGGAACGGCGTCCACAAGATCGACACTTACCTGAATGCCGCCTTGGACCTCCTGGGAGGAGAGGATGGGCTTTGCCGGTACAAGTGCAGCGATGGTAAGGCTGGTCATGCCCCAAGAGAAAGGGGCCTGGGTAGCTGAGCCTCAGGTGGTGCCCATAGAAGGGGCTCAGAAGGGGAGGCCGAGTTGAGCCTCAGATGTGCCTATAGCAGTCATGGGCACGCTTCGGCCCTCCAGGTGTTTTGGACTCCAACTCCCACAATTCCTAACAGCCTCAGAAGGTGCCAACTATCTCAGTGCGACTCAGGAGCCGATTGGAATCCTAGTCACCAGGTGTGCCTATAGCAGCCATGGGCACGCTTCGGTCCTCCAGGTGTTTTGGACTCCAACTCCCACAATTCCTAACAGCCTCAGAAGGTGCCCACTATCTCAGTGCGACTCAGGAGCCGATTGGAATCCTAGTCACCAGGTGTGCCTATAGCAGCCATGGGCACGCTTCGGTCCTCCAGGTGTTTTGGACTCCAACTCCCACAATTCCTAACAGCCTCAGAAGGTGCCCACTATCTCAGTGCAACTCAGGTGCTGATTGGAATCCTAGTCACCAGGTGTGTCTATAGCAGGCATGGGCACACTTTGGCTCTCCAGGTGTTTTGGACTCCAACTCCCACAATTCCTAACAGCCTCAGAAGGTGCCCACTAACTCAGTGTGACTCAGGTGCTGATTGGAATCCTAGTCACCAGGTGTGCCTATAGAAGGCATGGGCACACTTCGGCCCTCCAGGTGTTTTGGACTCCAACTCCCACAATTCCTAACAGCCTCAGAAGGTGCCCCCTATCTCAGTGCAACTCAGGTGCTGATTGGAATCCTAGTCACCAGGTGTGTCTATAGCAGGCATGGGCACACTTTGGCTCTCCAGGTGTTTTGGACTCCAACTCCCACAATTCCTAACAGCCTCAGAAGGTGCCCACTAACTCAGTGTGACTCAGGTGCTGATTGGAATCCTAGTCACCAGGTGTGCCTATAGAAGGCATGGGCACACTTCGGCCCTCCAGGTGTTTTGGACTCCAACTCCCACAATTCCTAACAGCCTCAGAAGGTGCCCACTAACTCAGTGTGACTCAGGTGCTGATTGGAATCCTAGTCACCAGGTGTGCCTATAGAAGGCATGGGCACACTTCGGCCCTCCAGGTGTTTTGGACTCCAACTCCCACAATTCCTAACAGCCTCAGAAGGTGCCCACTATCTCAGTGAGACTCAGGTGCTGATTGGAATCCTAGTCACCAGGTGTGCCTATAGAAGGCATGGGCACACTTCGGCCCTCCAGGTGTTTTGGACTCCAACTCCCACAATTCCTAACAGCCTCAGAAGGTGCCCCCTATCTCAGTGCAACTCAGGTGCTGATTGGAATCCTAGTCACCAGGTGTGTCTATAGCAGGCATGGGCACACTTTGGCTCTCCAGGTGTTTTGGACTCCAACTCCCACAATTCCTAACAGCCTCAGAAGGTGCCCACTAACTCAGTGTGACTCAGGTGCTGATTGGAAACCTAGTCACCAGGTGTGCCTATAGCAGGCATGGGCACACTTCGGCCCTCCAGGTGATTTGGACTCCAACTCCCACAATTCCTAACAGCATCAGAAGGTGCCCACTATTTCAGTGCAAATCAGGTGCCGATTGGAATCTTAGTCACCAGGTGTGCCTATAGCAGGCATGGGCACACTTTGGCCCTCCAGGTCTTTTGGATTCCAACTCCCATTATCTCTAACAGCCAGCATCCTCCTGCACCCCAATTGCCAGCTGGAGAGACCTCTGTTTTTCATTGCGGCTATGTAGTGTTAATGAATACAGAGCAGTTATGGTTTGGCATATTGGTTTGAGTATTGGACTAGGACTCTGGAGTTCAGGGTTCTAATTGACCACGGATGGCCTTGGGGAAGTTACACACTCTCTCAGCCTCAGAAGAAAGCAATGGCAAACCTCGTCTGAAAAAAATCTTGCCAGAAAGCTCTGTGATAGAGGGGACTTAGAAATCCATAAGTTGGAAATAACTCGAACGCACACAATAGCAACAATAGTGCCACAGGATCATGGGAGTTGTAGTTTTACAAGATCTTTAGCCTTTTCTTCCAAAGACCACTAGTGCCCTGCCAAACTAAAACTCTAATGAAACTCACTGCATTGAGCAATGGCAGTTAAAGCTACCCTAATTCTATAGTATTGACCAGGTATGGGCAAACTTTGGCCCTCCAGGTTGGACTCCAACTCCCACAGTTTCTAAAAGCCAGTAGGCTCTAGTCACCAAGAATGCATCTACTGTCATTGCTCAATGCTATGGAATCCTGGGATATATATTTTGACAAAGCTTTTAGCATCCTCTGCCAAAGAGTGCCAGCGCTTCTGCAAGCTACAATTCCCATGACTCCATACCCTTGCACCACAGCAATCAAAATGATGTCAAACTGTATTAATTCCACATTGTAGATGTACTCCAGAGGCTGGGAAAGACCTAGCATTTTGTTTTTCAATTACAATGACCCTTGGTATCCACTGGGATCTGGATCTTGGACAGCCTCCCCCAATTCCAAAAACTGGATGTTCAAGTCCCATTATATACAATGCATTATGTAAAATAGAAAATCAAACTTTGCTTTTTGGATTAAAAAAATCAAATTCTGGAGGGTTGAGTTTGTGGATACAGAATCCATGAATACAAGGGGTCAATTGTTACGGAAAGAGCAAGTAGTTCATCAATGGGTTCCGTGTATAGGTATCAGCTTTGTTATTGTGGATTAAAATGCTTGGAAATGAATGTGAAAGGTAATCCATTCTTCCTGCATCCAGATTATGTTAACCAATTAGTTCCCAGTTTTACAAACTTTCCAAACATTAGTTCACTACTGTATGTTGTTGCTTCTTTTTTGTTTCATAATTTTAGTCGTATACATTTGTTTCTTTAGTTCAAAAGATGATCACAAGAATTTACTTATTATTACCACAACAAATCTAAGAGGTATCTAGTATTGTTATCTTCTGCTTGAAAGAGCTTCAACACTTTCTGCACATTGTATTAATATGTGAAATACGTAAACACTTTTAAAAAGATAAAGTATGTGAACTTTAATGGGGCTGTGGTGGCGCAGCAGGTTAAACCTCTAAGCTGCAGAATTTGCTAACCCAAATGTCAGCAGTTCAAATCTGTGGGACAGGGTGAGCTCCTGCTGTTAGCCCCAGCTTCTGCCAACCTAGCAATTCAAAAACATGCAAATGTGAGTAGATCAATAGGAAGGTAATGATGCTCCATGCAGTCATACCAGCCACATGACCTTGGTGGTGTCTATGGACAACACTGGCTCTTTGGCTTAGAAATTGAGATGAGCACCACCACCCAGAGTCAGACTATAACTGGTGTTGAGGATGACACTTTTAATAATATTAATAATTATCAGTAAGACTATTATATTTTGAGAAATGCAATTTTATATCTACTTAACCTTAGAATGCTTCCTACTAAATTCAGTGGGCATTACTTCTGCGAAGACATTATAGGATTGACCTCTTAGTATAATATAGTTGTATGCAGAGGCGGCCGTAGGTAATTTTCAACAGTAAGCAAACAGTATTTTGCCCCCCCAACCAATCATTGATTTATATTTTCTGTTCGTCGTGGGAGTTCTGTGTGCCATATTTGGTTCAATTCCATCATTGGTGGAGTTCAGAATGCTCTTTGATTGTAGGTGAACTATACATCCCAGTAACTACAACTCGTATATGTCAAGGTCTATTTTCCCCCAAGAGCACCTCAAGAGCGCCCCTGGGCAAAATCAACTATACTGCAAATGCTTACTTTGCGTAATGGGTTGAGCTGCTCCTTGTTGTATGAAAACCTTGATAAGATTAGTGTTACTATTGCTAAGCTACATTCAGTAACCATAAAAATGATACGTTGATGCATTTGTATAACACTTAGTTGAGAACCAGTGTAGTATAGTGGTTTGAACATTGGATGATTAATCTGGAGACCAGGGTTCAAATCAGCCATAGAAAGCTACTTGGTGACTTTGGTGAAGTCACTCAGTCTCAGCCCCAAAGGAAAGCAAAGGCATATTCCTCTGAAGAAATCCTGCCAAGAAGCATTCATGATAGGTGTGCCATATGTCAGTTTGAACGCACACGTTAACAATTCACTGAATTGTTCTATTGATTCTCTTTGAATGAAGACAATTAGCACACAATTATATGAGCACCTGCTTGTCCGGTTTTAATGGATTCATTTCAATTGGTGCAGCCCGAGGACGTGAACAACATCCTTGTAGAGGTGAGGGCAACCGCATGCATCCTAGACCCCTGCCCATCCTGGCTGGTAAAGGAGGCCAGAGGGGGTTTGGCAGAGTGGGAGAAGGTAGGGGTTAATGCCTTCTTACAAGAAGGCAAGATTCTAGTGGACTTAAAGGAGGCAGTGATAAAACCACTATCGAAAAAGACATCACTGGATCCCACTCAACTGAACAACTTTCAGCCAGTTTCCAATCTCCCCTTTTTGGGCAAATTCCTAGAACGTGTGGTGGCCTTGCAACTCCAGGTGTTCTTGGAGGAAACTGATTAACTGGATTCGGCACAGTCTGGTCTTAGGCCAGGACATGGAACTGAAACAGCATTGGTCTCCTTAGTGGGTTATCTATGCTGAGAAGTTGAAAGGGCAGTGTGTGCCTGTTGGTTCTCATGGACCTCTCAGTGGCCGATACTGTAGACCATGGTATCCTTCTGGGATGCCTTGCAGGAATGGGGCTTGGAGGTACTGTTTTGCAGTGGCTTTGATCCTTCCTGGAGGATTGCTCCCAGAAGGTGTTGTTGGGGGACACCTGCTCTGCTCCACAGCCTTTGACCTGTGGGGTCCCACAGGGTTCAGTATTGTCCCCCATGTTGTTTAACATCTACATGAAGCCACTGGGGGAGATCATCTGGAGTTTTGGAGTTCAAAGCCATCCGTATGCAGATGACGTCCAACTCTATCACTCCTTTCCACCTGCTACTAAGGAGGCTGTTCAGGTCCTGAACCAATGCTTGGCAACTGTGACAGCCTGGATGAGGGCAAACAAATTGAAATTGAATCCAGACAAGACAGAGTTACTCTTAGTCAGTCAAAAGGCTAAACAGGGTGGTATAGGGCTATAGCTTGTGCTGGATGGGGTTACACTCTCCCTGAAGATACAGGTTCGCAGCTTGAGAGTTATCCTGGATTCACCGCTGAGCCTGGAACCCTAGGTTTCAGCAATGGCCAGGGAAGCTTTGCACAATTAAAACTTGCGCCTATACCTTGAGAAGTCAGACTTAGCTGCGGTGGTCCATGCTCTTGTTACATCTCAAAGAGACTACTGCAACATGCTCTATGTGGGGTTGCCTTTGAGGACTGTTTCAAAGCTCCAAGTAGTCCAACAGGCAGCAGCAAGATTCCTAACCGAAACGGCATACAGGGAGCATACAACACCTGTTAAGTCAGCTCCACTGGCTGCCGGTTTGCTTCTGGGCAGAAGTCGAAGTGCTGGCTTTATCCTATAAAGCCCTAAACGGTTCCAGTCCAGCTTACCTGTCCGAAACGTATCTCCCTCTATGAGCAGTAAGATCTGCTGGGAAGGCCCTGCTCTCAATCCCACCCCCTTCACAAGCATAACTGGTGGGGGTGAGAGGCAGGGTCTTCTCAGTGGCGGCCTCTCTGCTATGGAACTCCCTCCCCAATGATATTAGATTGACCCCCTCCCTCCTTATCTTTAGAAAAAAAGTTAAGACTTGGCTCTGGGATCAGGCATTCAGGAATAGTGCAACATGGAATTGGTATGTAGCAATATGAAGGATGATCACAGTTTTAGATATATGGTTTTTAACAGTTTATGTATTTAAATATTTATTTTGTTGATGTTTAATGTGTTGTATTTTATATACTTTGTATTGCAATGTGGCACTGAAGTGGCTAATCTGTAATCTGCTCTGAGTCCCCCTCAGGGTGAGAATAGCGGAGCATTTATATAGGGAATAAATAAATAAATTATACTAGAGAATATTGCTTATGGACTCTTGTTTTGAGGCATCAAATCCTAAATTATTTTAAGTACTTGCAACCCTTCATATTTTATAGGATATAAACCTTTTCCCCGTTATGGCTATAAACCTCAACCACCAAATGGATGTGGGTCTCCCCTCTTTGGAGTTCATGTAAGTAACTTCTGAGTCATTGAGTTTTTCTTCACTTTGATTATTTATATGTCAAAGGAAGGAAATATATTAAAATGGAAATGCATCTGGGTTAACTTTAACATCAAAAATAGATTTATGGAAAACATTCATACTCAAAATTTAACTTATCCTTAAATTCGCTAACAAAATAATTCATTTTTTAAAAGTCTGAAGCATCCGTTTTCTCTTTTTATGAGAGTTTGAGGGGAACATTTCTATCATTTAAAACTTCTGATGGCTAAAAGCATCCCTATTCAGATTTTTACCTTAAATGTATATGTTAGGTTTTGCACTCATCTTAATCCCTTTTGTTTAATTTACTAGTTTTCTGAAATACAGAGTGCTTCAAAAAGATGGACCCAATTTAAAATTTAATGTTTTCCATACAGTAAGTGGAGGGCACCTAGAGTATTTATACCATGGTTAATAAAACATGAACATTTAATAACTCCTAAACTTTTTGTGTCATTTTAACATGTTGCCATCGTGAAATATACTGCTTTGAAATTAGGCCCATAATTTTGAAACACCCATGCTTTTCCAGCTCTTTATGCATTTCTTTCAGGGACATTGTTTATGCTGGTACACATTAATGCTATGTATTGGTATGCCTCACAAAGCATTCTCACAAAATGCTATGGAATTGCTTCCCAGTTTGATATAGGCATTCCCTCCATGACAAAATGCTGCAATCAACACGACAGGTGCTATGATACCTGTGGCAACAAAAAACATGATTGTGATGAGGAATTTCAATACTGCCTTTCAAAGATCTGTAGAGATGTACAGAAGACACTAGGAATTCCAGAGAGTGTACGAGGTAAGCTTGTCCAGAGAAATACACCTGTGATAGTTTTTTTTGTAACTGCACAATAACTAAATATAATTTGAACTTACATGACTCTACCATCTGCTCTGTTTTGCCATGCATTCAAGATCTGAGGTTTTATTTATGTGCAATTCATAAATGCAAATTATGTTCTAACAGATAACACCCTGCTGTCATGCTCTTATGTGCAAGTTTTGAAACAGATGACCATGTTAGTCATTTCCAGCTATTAGAAAGGAAAGGGGTTTGAAGAACTCTAGCACCACTTTGAGACTTTTTTTAAAAAAAGGAATGAATTCATTACACTTGTTTATTTTCAAGCAGGTTACAATAATTACCATGTGTGTTCTAAGCCAGGCACCTTCCACAACCATTTCCCCCAAAAATAATGGTAGACTAATTGTTTGAAAACATTCTGTATATACTCGAATATAAGCTGAGTTTTCAGCCCTTTATTTACAATGAAAAAGCCCCCCTCAGTTATACTCAAGTCAATGTTTTATTGTTACTTTATTTTTATTACATTTTATTCATTTATTATACTCTATTTATTATTATTATTATATAATATTAATAAATTTACATTATTTTACTCTATTATTTATATTACATTTATTATTTTACTCTATTTATTATTATATTATGTCATTTATTATTTTACTTTATTTTTATTATTACATGTATTATTTTACTCTTATTATGTTTATTACATTTACATTATTTTACTCTATTATTATTTTGGAAGGATACGTAAGCACATTTACATTGAAGAAGGTTAGAATAATGGTTTAATCGAAGTTGGGCAGTCTTATCTTAAATTGCAGTTTATATAAAAACTCAAAAACATTTAATCTACTGATGTCTCAATTAATGTAATTTCATTGGTATCTATGCACCAACGGTGCATTAACACTGTAAAATTAATGCAGTTTGAACTACTTTAACTGTTATGGCTCAATACTATGGAATCCTGGGATTTGTAATTTGCTGTGGCATAAGAGAAGAGACAGAGAAGGAGAAAGACCTTAAAATCCAGCCATGCCATATACTGCCATATAATACAGTGTGAGTCAGTGGTATCATTAATGAAAATATGAATAGGAAGGAAATTATATGGTTGTAAATCTGACTTACAAAATTGCAATTAGCAGTTTGCCAAATATGATTTGTATTTTATTGATTGTTTATTGATGTTGTGTTTATTGATGTTTTGTTTGATGTACTTTGGGCTTGGCCTCATGTAAGCCGCACCGAGTCCCTTGGGGAGATGGTAGCGGGGTACAAATAAAGTTTATTATTATTATTATTATTATTATTATTATTATTATTACATGATTTTAACTAAAACATGTTTTATGTTGCTATGGGATCTTGAAAGCGGTACTCCAAAAACCTAACCTTTCCAAGCTTTGTGATAGTTGCATTTTACTATATTATTGAAATATAAATTGATTTTCTTTTCTCTGTATCCTTGTTTTCTATTGATTCTCTTCCCTCTGCACTCTCCTTTTCAGCTTGTGAATCAACAGTGCAACTAGTGTTTGATGCTGTCATACATTTAGGATGCAAACCATACCTTGACAGTCAAAGAGCTGCATGTATGTGTCGGTATGAAGACAAGAGAGAACTTTAAAGACAATAATGACTTTCTCCAGTTTATACTGATGTGTCCGGATTATGAGAGCCTTCTCTTTTTTTGTTACAAAGCTGTTCAAAATACGGTGGATGTGAAGATGATCTACTACTGCAGAAAATACATACTTTTTTAAAAAAGGTTTTGTATAGCACTTGCTCTTTTCATCAACTTTGCATACGTCTTTTGCAAATATCTTTTGCAAAAATCTTTTGAAGATGACAGTTAACAAATATTGATATATGATAATGAATAAGCGCTGCATTAAATCTGTGCCATTTTGGTAGCATTAAAAGTAGGTCAAACTTTGCTCTTACCAGCAATTGACATTTCCTCTGTGCCATGTTGTATGGTAGACATTTCTTTGAATAATCTCTCTGTTATATGCTGTGATATTTAATTACAAATAATTGCTAATGTGTCTATTGCAGACATGGGCAAACTAAGGTCCTGGAGCTGTATGCGGCCCCCTGGGTGCTTACCTCAGACCTTCCTCGTTTCCCCTGTCCTTTCGGCATAAGGACATGGTGGCCCACCATATCCTTATGCAGAAAGGATGGGGGAGGAAGACACACAGCAGCTGAGAGCCCTGTGGAGCGCTCTCAGCCACTGCATGTCTTGCCCTCCTCCCAGTATAAGGACGGTGTGAGCAACCCTGTCATTATGCTGAGAGGATGGCCCGAGAAAGGCACGCAGTGCCTAAGAGCCCTCTGGAACGCTCTCAACCATTGCCTATCTTGCCCTCCTCCCAGCATAATGCCAAGAGGACAGCCCAAAGATCGGGGGAGGAGGATCACAGCAGTTGCCCTTCCAACATAAGGATGGAGCGAGCAGCCCCGACCTTATGCCAGGAACCTTCCCTGCCTCCTACCAGCCCCGTCTTTTCCCAGACTTTCCTCCTCCCGGACCCATCCCACCTAGCACATGCATGGTCGCCCTCTTTCTCAGCTCGGTCTGGTCCTCTCAGCTGGGCCCACAATGTGGCCCCAAAGCAAAAACGTTTGCCCATGTCTGGTCTAGTGGGACCATCTCCTTTGTAAGTTTGTATGGGACTGCAGCCTTCTGTGGTAATCCTATACAGGCTTACCTGGGAGTAGACCCCATTAACTGAACAGATTTTACTGGGAACATACTGGGAACTATCCTGCTTGTTTCACAACACTCTAATAGACTTGGCTTGATATATAGCCCTAACATTTTTGTCACAATTAAAGTAAGTCCATTTAATGAATGCAACTTGTATAACCATTGACTTATGTAGCTCCATTGATTTAAAAAGTGTACTCTAGCTGTGACTAGCAGTTAGTTTTAAGGCTCAGGAATTACCCAAATCATATTTTCCATCCATTTTTATAGAAGTCTATTTTCTTAAATGCCAATGAAATTTAAAATATACATTTGATATACAGTTGGCCTTCCATTTTCTGAGCGTTAGAAAACACTATTTACTTGTACTTGAGAGAACGCCTCTCTCTGAATCTCTACTTTCTCCAGTGCAACTTGATGGTTGACTTCTGCCAGTGGTTGACCAGGGAGTAACATTGTAGGACCTAGAAATGCTTAGAGAAGTGTTCCCTCTAGAAATCTCTAGGTCCATGGGTTTTACTGTCAGGAAAATTGTAGTCCAGGTAGTACTACAAATATTCAGTCTAAATTGTGCAAAGGAAGCTGTTAAATACCACTTACTCAAACTCTGTAGATATGTATTGAGTAGCACAACTGACTTTACATTACTACAATAATACTTTTACATATAGGCCTATTTTTTCATGTTGCCATTCAAGGATGAATCAGGTCCTGTCTGGGAACTTAGTAAAACACAGTTGTTATCATTTTAAAATTACAAAAAAATATTGCAGTCTTTTTTTAAAAAAAAAAAATCAACTGTAAGTTTGGTCAAATGTGTTTACACAGTTATCTTTTATGAAAAAAGTGCCTTAATGTATATTATACATTTAGAATTTAGTTGTCCTGACCAAAGCCTTTGCTTAATTTATGTAAAAACACTTGACTGACAATTTGTGTCTTTTGAAATGAAATTATAATAATAATTAAGAAGTTGATTGCTTTGTTTCTTAGGGTTATTAATCTGATGAATATTTTCTCATGTGCTAAATCATTTATGTCCTTGCACTTTCTCATCTGAACAGAACTTTCTCTAATTTCGTGTATATTTCTGCTGTTTGTCAGTGAAGTAATTTCTCAAAAGTTATGTTCCTAATTATAGCTGACTTAATGAAAGTAGTCCTGCATTAATACATACAAGTTACAACTATCTTAGATTGTATGAAAACGTATTTGTTGTTGTTTATTGTCTCTAGGTACCAGGTTTTACTGAACCTGTTTTACCCAAATACATTCAAAACTGTGATTTTTTTCCCCCTCTTGTTCAACCCAGCCTTCTGTTGAGCATCTGAGCATACTACTACTCAAAGCTATTCAATGATATTACTTGAAAAGTCATCTGTGATGGTTTTATTATGGGGCCTTTATGGATGAAGCCTAAGGGATTTTAAAAAACTGAACATGTGTACTGTGTAAAATAGAGCTGTATCTGTTTTGGGATGCGAATTAAAGAGCCAAACTATATATGTGTGTAATGTCCCCTATTGTTAATTGAGAATCATTGTTGCAAAGAAAAATTGAAAGATCTATTCGACAAAATTTGTTTCAGTTATACTTCACACAGTTAAAACATAATCATGTCAGAAGTGAATTGAGAGTATACTGCAAGTTATTCCTGGTGTGAGAGAATTGGACATTGCCCAGGGGACACCTGGATGTTTTATCATCCTGTGGGAGGCTTCTCTCATGTCCATGCATGGGAAGCTGGGGCTGACAGATGGGAGCTCACCCCTGTTTCACAACTAGGGGCCATGGTGGCACAATGGATTAAACCTGCTGGCTGAACTGCTGACCTGAAGACCTGAATGTCGGCGGTTTGAATCCACAAGACAGAGTGAGCTCCCATCTGTCAGCCCCAGCTTCCCAGGTGGTGATGTGAGAGAAGCCTGCCACAGAATGGTAACACACCTGAGCATCCTCTGGGCAACGTCCTTGCAGACAGCCAATTCTCTCATACCAGAAGCGACTCCAATTCGCTTCTGACATGATAAAAAAAAGTCTTCAGGTCAGCAGTTCAGCCGGCACAAAGCTTTAACCCATTGCGCCACTGCAGCTCCTATATATAAATGAGTTTAGGTGAGCCTTATACCTTTCCTTTACATTTTGTGTTTGCCACAGTTTACTGCAAGGAGGATGGTGGACTGGATAACCTTTAGTCCTCCAAATGTTGGGGCCTTCAGGTCCCAAATGCCGTATGCAGCATTGCCAATGATAGTGGGGAAGATCAAATACTTCCCATTTGTGGCTTATTAAAATGAGACTTCAATCAACATGAAGCTGCATTTGGCACCTTTTTATTGAAATTGAATATAAAGACCTTTGAATGGCAATAACATACTTTGTGGAACTTCACTAGGGAAAATCAAGATGAAAATGAAACCTAGCTCGTCTCTGCTAAGATAAAACATACTTTGCATTATACTCTCAAAGGAGAAATCTCTTAAATAAAAACAATGACTGGCCTATAGTGTGCAACTCTAATCTTGTAGCTTAAAAACTGTATTATTGGTACATGTGAAGATGTGGCGAGCAAAACAGTACCATCATTTAAATATTTTGTTACTTGCTACAATGTAGGCATATGAGTTCTTCATTTCACTGTAGCCTAACTCTTCATCAAAGACTACCTTGGTTAAGCTTCCATAGCTGTGTGCATTGGACTAAAAAGGTAAAGGTTTTCCCCTCACATTAAGTCCAGTCGTGTCCGACTCTGGGGTGTGGTGCTCATCTCCATTTCTAAGCCGAAGAGCCGGCATTGTCCGTAGACACCTCCAAGGTCATGTGGCCGGCATGACTGCATGGAGCACCGTTACCTTCCCACCGGAGTGGTACCTATTGATCTACTCACATTTGAACTGCTAGATTGGCAGGAGCTGGGGCTAACAGCAGGAGCTCATGCCGCTTTCTGGGTTTGAACCTGTGACCTTTTGATCAGCAAGTTCAGCAGCTCAGCGGTTTAACCCACTGCGCCACAGGGGGCTCCTACTAAAGTTCAATTTTCCTTTTCCATTTAGAAGTCAGCTTGCCTCTTTCAGCGCAGAGTATCTTAGCAAACATAGTGCATAAATTGTCCCTCATCCAAGTATTAACTAGGAGTTGACTCCTGCTCAATTGGCCAGATGGGACCTGGTGCCTTTGGGGTATTAGTTGAACTGCCTGTAGTTGTGATTCAGGATCTCTTACAACTTTATAATGCTTAGTTACAGTAAATTATCAACTTGAGATATTAACATTTCCAACTATTAAAATTAAAATGAGCCATATCTTTAATCTTATAAAACTTTTCACTACATCCTGTTCTTCTTGTTTAATAAGTGAACAATCAGGAAGAAGTCTCGCCATTTTATCCCCTGAAACTTTGCATAATGACATTCAGTCTGTATAACCCACTTAACAGGATTTATCAGTTCATGTTATTTTTGGAACTGTACTCAAAATATATTTGTACTGTGATTTCTAGCTGGAAACAGACTGGTAGCCAGTGAAGTTCCAGCTCGTGTTCTAGGTTTTCCACCATCAGTTATACTTCTGATTGTGCTTTTCCTGCATGGCAGGGGGTTGGACTAGATGACGTATGTTGTCTCTTCCACCTCTACTATTCTAAGTGATTCATCACTTTGAGTTCCCTGGTAAACCAAATACAGTGTGTTCTCCACATCTGAGGATCTGGATTTGTAATTACCACCAACCAACCATGGATTATTGTGTCCCATAATATTAAATCATGGCAAAGTGAATCTGGGCATGCTGAAGTGTGCATGTTCACCATCAATGACATTTAATAATATGATACATGATTGTCCACCTTTTTTGTATCCATGCAAGGTCCTGGAATCAACCCCTGTGGATATAGTGGGCTCAATGTATTCTTGAACTTAGATAGAATATATTGTTTTAAATGGGTAAAATTGTTAAAATGTGAGAGAATAATCCTTTGGAGGATACTCTGAGAATATTTTCAACTCACATCACTGTTTCCCACTTCCCATCTCTCCCACTTCCTTAAGTAGAATATTCTGTGACGACAGGTACAATTAAGCTTATAGAGACAGATTGTTCTCAAAACAGGCTTATAGCTAATGTTGTGTTTGATAGGATAGGTAAATGTAAAGGTTTTCCCCAGACATTAAGTCCAGTGTGTCCAACTCCATCTCCATTTCTCAGCTCATCTCCATTTCTAAGCCAAAGAACCAGCATTGTCCGTAGACACCTCCAAGGTCATTTGGTCGACATGACTGCATGGAGCACCATTACCTTCCCGCTGGAATGATACCTATTGATCTACTCACATTTGCATGTTTTCAAACTTCTAGGTTGGCAGAAGCTGGGGCTAACAGCCAGAGCTCATGCTGCTCTGCAGATTCAAACCTGTGACCTTTCAGTCAGCAAGTTCTGCAGCTCAGCACTTTAACCCACTGTGTCACCAGAGTTCAATAGGGTAGCCTATGAGATTATGGCAAAGAAGGGTAGCCAAAGTGACTTCTGGTTGGGCAGAAGACAATATTTCAGCAGGGAGTGTTTATTATGTGGTTGTATGATAGGCATCAGTTGCTGAAATTCATTTTTCTACACAAACATAAACCCTCTCAAACTTTCAATCTGGCAAAATCTTGAATGTTGCAAAACGAGTCTAACCAGCAGTGAATTGGATAAAATACAATAATGTTCTTGGCCAAGGCAGGTAAAATGAGTACTAGAAAAATTAACATTTTGAAAAGATAGGCACATTTCAGGAAAATGAGAATTTGAGTGGTTCAGCGATCGAGTTTTTCTAGCCACTTAAGCACACCACTGCAGTAAAGGGAGAAACTATTCCAGTAATGAGATTGTGTATTGCTTTGGTCTATTACCAGTACTCTTAACAAAGTGAGTCAAAGCCAAGAGTTTATACAGGTACAAAGTTCAGCAAAAACAATCTGTGACACAGAAGCCAAAGGCATAGAACAGGAAGAGTAAAATATACTTTCTCTAGCTGTTTTGTTAAAAACAAATGGCAAGTCAAAGAACAAAGATAGATATTCAGTTAATCAAAGTTAAAAGTGCAAACTTAAATTGTGGATCTATATTGAAATCCCAAGTTGTTGCTGCCTATATATATATATATCTATACACACACACATACACACACACATACATATATGTTGCTGCATTTTGAAAAGATGTATGTTCCTTCCTCAATGTAGACCCAGTGAATCATTTTTATAAAAGCTGTTCTGAAGTACAGATAAATCCTCTTGGGCTAGTTCTCAGTCAGGATATGAGGCTGTAATACACTCTTAGAATTGTATACTAGATGTAGTATTTAGAGGTCGGACAACCAACACTTTTGTATAAAAATTATAAGTAGTGATTTTAGATGGCAGCACACTCAGCAATTCAGGGGAAAAATCAAGCATTAGTTGAGTCGTTAGGTGTTTACACTCTGCATAGTTATCTTTTCTTTCCATGAAGGTGCACAGCAATGCAAACTGAAGAAAATACACAATAATATATATCTGGTTTAGAAGTCAGGCTACCTTGACCCTGTAGAGTTATTTTAAGCATAGAGCTGACTCAGCAGTGACTAATAGATATAAGATCTCAGATAACATGGCCAAGATTTAAAACTTTGAACCAGAAAAGGTGCTTGTCACAAATTAAACTGTAATGTAAAATGTCAGATTACTCTTCTGGAAGGTAGCACACAATTTAACACTAGAAATGTCATTCTTTTGCCTTTCTGAGAGTTGTCACCATTTGCACAATTATAATATATACTTTCTTTGTAATCCAATAGCTGTTTACCTTGCCGCACACTGCATTTACCCTATAATCCTTACATATCACCTGTCACATCAGCACTTTTAATCCTGTACCCATTACTCTGGCCCGGCCAAGTTTTATTGTGTCTTGGTGTATTGTTTATTGCTCGTTGTTTAATTTTGCTTTTTTTTAATTGCGTTAGGTTGTGTATTGTTATGTTGTATTTGAGGCCTTGGCCTTTGTAAGCCGCATCGAGTCCTTCGGGAGATGCTAGCGGGGTACAAATAAAGTTAATAATAATAATAATAATAATAATAATAATAATAATACCTCCAAGTAAGTCCCAGTGAACACAGAACTACTTTTGTGTAAATATGTATACAACTGCATTATTAGAGAGAGATATTGTACATTTTTATCCAGATGTGCAATACAGCTTAGTCTCAGATAAGTGGGTACAGAATGGGTACAGAACTGGCATTTTCAGCCTTAGATTAAAAAAAACCCTAAGTTATATTATTGTTTCTAGGATACTGCATGTCTATGAAATAGCATACATATATTTCATAGCAATATGTGAATTGCTATATCCAAGTGGCTATGTAAATATTTTTTTGCTGCTATGTAACTCTCTCCTCCTGTTTTATTTGGTCAAAGACAAATCTTTGAATAGTAAGAATTATGTGTTCAGGATATGACTTACTATATTTCAAGACAATGCTGTTATTGTGGTGGTATACCTTCAAGTCGCTAGCAACCTAAAGCAAATCTATGACAGGCTTTTCTCGACAAGGTTTGTTGAGAGAGGGTTTGCCCTTGTCTATCTTGGAGACTGAAAGAGTGTGACCTGCTCAAAGTCATATAGCGGGTTTCCAGGGTTGAGCAGAAATTCAAACTCTGGTCTCCAGAATTGCAGTCCAGTGCTCAAATAACTACATCACACAGGCTAATGGAAAGAATTATAGCAATCCTCATAAGAACTGCAAGCATAGAATCATAGACTTGAAAGAGACCAAGCCCAGGAGAATGTCTGGAGGCCCTACCCCCTCCTGCGAAGCCCCTAGACCCCTTTGAAAAGTAATGAAAACTTACCTGGTCTCCATAACAGGCTTTGGGCAGCTCTCCCAGAGTGTAGAAATGACGTGCCAGGAGGGGGGGCAATTTTCGTTCCTCTCCCCCCTTCTGGCATGTCATTTCTACACACCGGGAGAGCTGCTCAAAGCCTGTAATGGAGGCTGGGTAAGTTTTCATTACTTTCAAAAGGGGTCTGGAGGCCTTGGGGGAGGGGGTGGGTATTCCCACAGTTTACTGGCCTTATTTAGCCCGGTAAACTGTGGGAATGGTGTCTTGACTGTAGTCCAGACATCGGAAGACGTGGGTTTATCCTGTGTCTTCCAAGAAGGCGTGGAATAAACCCACTAATTAATTCACTACAAACCAGGGTTTGTAGCGAATTAATTCGGGACTATCCAGAACTTTGTCTTGACAGCCTCTCCTTTATTGCGGTAGATGCCGCAGTAAAGATACTGTCCGGACGGATCCTAAGTCCTTCAGAACAATTCTGTGGTCAGATTCAATCAGTTGCTGTTCATAAAGTTGTGTTGGAAGACTAAGGATTCCTAGAGCAAACACTTCTCTCGGCTGCAATATGATTCTACAACCAACTTTTTTATAGAGTCACACTGTAGAATCTAAAGATCCCTAGGAAGGTGTTGTATCAGGTAAAGTAAGTTTTTTTAATTTGCAGTTTTCCTACTTTTGAGGGAACATACATCCCTAATCCCAATGTATGTGAAAGGTTCACTGTATATACTGTTGTTTAGTTGAATAATGTTCGTGAAATCTTGTAATTATTCAGAATATTATCCATATCAGACATTATGGATAATACACATTGGGGAGGTACTGGGCACTCTGCAGGGTAGTAATAAAAGCTGAAGCAGAACTTCTTTGTAAGTCATTCTTTCATCTCTCATGACTGCAAGATAGCTTCTGAATGGCAGCTGCTTATTTGTTTAACACAGTGGTTACATTGGGAGATTAGTTTATATCCTCAGAAAGCAACTCCTCCCTGCTTTTAAGATTTTGAAAATGCAGGGCTCCTCTACTTTTAACAGTGATACATTAGAGAGGGAATTTCAGCAGTGGTATTTGTCATACAAGTTTCACCTGCTGAAATCTTTGCAACCATGAAAGTTAGTTTTTCCCCTGTCTTGGGTATCCAAATAATAGTGTGATGTTGTTTACAGAAGTGTAGGAAACAACTTATTTAGCACTGGGTGACTTTGGCGAAGTCACTCTCTCAGACTTAGAGGAAGGCAAGCACATGTTAAAAAATCAAACTGGAAAACTGGGTATTACATATACTTGAATGCACAGGACTCAACCATGTTTTGAATTATTTTTTGAATAATTAAGCAGCAAAACTTCAAAGAGACAAATGCCATGGATGAACGGGAAAGTTCTTTGTTATGTTAGATAAATATCATATAGTGGACAACAAAGAAGAAAGAGAAGGGTTATATTCTTGTATCTTATTCTTTTTGTTATAAAAACCTACATCTCAGTCATTAGTGGATCTTTTTACAAAGGAATACTTTGCTCCATGATACTAATGGTTCAATGATAATATTTTAGGAGCAATCACAATTGTGCCTCGTGAACTCTGACTTGCATTCTTGAGTGTCCACCAAAGTTTATCGATGGAGCCTGGTTTCTATCAAAGTGTATTCACACAGTTTTAAAATCTTTCCAACAGATTTTTTTGACATGTCAGGAGTGACTTCAGTAACTGCTAGTCACTTCTGATGTGAGAAAATTGGTCATCTGCAAGGACATTGCCCAAGGGATGCCTGGATGTTTTGATGTTTTACCATCCTTGTGGGAGGCTTCTCTCATGTCCCTGCATGGAGAGCTGGAGCTGATAGAGGGAGCTCATCTGCGCTCTCCCTGGATTTGAACCTGTGACCTGTTAGTCTTCAGTCCTGCCAGCACAAGGGTTTAACTCACTGCGCTACTGGGGGCTCCTTTCCAACAGATGTTATGGTATTATTTTGTAACTACAAATTATCAATTAACAGTCATTTTCAGTTATTTTAAGACTTGAAACATTGTAACTAAAATAGAAATTTGATTTAATTAAATCTATATAAAATATTTAATGAACAATATAATTTAAATTATTTTGTGTTATGGAACTACACTTTATGATTTGCTAAAAAAAGTCATTCCCCCCCCCCCCTTTCCCGGATTTTTTTTCTGGCTATGGCCCTGGCTGTCAGATAATCAATAAGTTATTCCTCTGAATTTTACACTCCTGCCATTGGCTAATTAATCCTTATTTTAGAGTAGAATTTTTGAAGAGCTTAGTGTTGAATGAACAGAAGAAAAAAGGAGGGAACTTGAAGTTAGCTTCTGTGTTTTAGCTTCTTGAGTAGTAAGCTTTAGAAACATTGATCAGAATGGAAGATCACCTTTCATGGGCAAGGAGCTTGATCTATGGCACTGCTGCCTTGGAACTGTAGTTTGATTGGACATGAGCTGGGTGACCATTCAACTATTTCAAAGCTCCCTGCTTGAGCGGTGATGGCATGATTGTCAGCATAGATGAAACTCTCTGAGCTTCTGGCAATGGCTGGTCATTTGTGTAAATGTTAAAACACTGATGGAGCAAGTACACTGCTTCTCTGACCCTGGAACTCAACAAAAAAAAAGCTCGTTTTGTAGCAGATTTCCTATAAAGCAGGAGAGGTTGTAATCTTGTGACCTTGCACTGGGTGACCTTGGGCAAGTCATACCTCAGCCTCAGAAGAAGGCAATGGCAAAACTGTTCTGTTCCCTTCATGAACAAATCTTGACAACAAAACACTGCTGTAGTTGCCTGAGGTTGGAAAGGACATATTTATTGTATCAGAAGCGAATCGAGGGTACAGATGTAATGAACTTAAAAAACACAGAGTATAAAAAAGCTTGGCATTACACTAAATGTCCTTTGACCAGTATCTGGCCACTTGGGAGTGACTCTGGTGTTGCTGTAAAAAGGTCCTCCATTGTGCATGTGCCAGGGCCTTCAGGTTGCATTGTAGTAGGTGGTCTGTGGTTTACTCTTCTCCACACTCACATGTCATGGACTCCACTTTGTGGCCCCATTTCTTAAGATTGGCTCGGCATCTCATGGTGCTTACTTAGGCAGTCCCTCGTAGCCTGAGGATGATTGTCTTTCAGATGTGGTGTCTTGGTGGTGGATCCATAGATGGCTGTGGAGCCCTATTCTTGATCCGCATATTCTCCCACAGTGAGGACATTGGTTTCCAAATGGTCAGGTTTGGCTTGACATGCCTTCCTCTTGGCACATTTCTCCCTTTCGCCCCCCCCCCCCCAAATCATGCCTCTTTGAATTCTGCAGCACTGCTGGTCACAGTTGACCTCCAGTTAGAGTGCTCAAGGGCCAGGGCTTTCCAGTTCTCGGCGTCTATGCCACAGTTTTAAAGGTTGGTTTTAAGCCCATCTTTTCCTGTCTACCAACATTATGTTTCCCGTTCTTGAGTTTGGAGTAGAGTCATAGCTTTGGGAGACGGTGATCGGGCATTCAGACAACGTGGCCAGTCCAGCGGAGTTGATGATGGAGGAGCATTGCTTCAATACTGGTGCTCTTTGCTTCTTTCACCATGCTGACAATTGTCTGCCCGTCTTCCCAGTGCCTTCCAAGTCACCCAGTCTTCTGTGTGCCCAGGAGGGAGTCAGCAATGGTTTGAGGTTCTGGGTTTTAACCTGCCACTTTTGAGCTCTTGCTTGCTGAGGTGTTCCTGTATCTCTTTAGATCTTAGAAAACTATTTCTTGATTTAAGACATTGGTGTGCTGGCTGATATCGGAACAGAGGATGGGCCAGAGATGTCCATGCCTTGGTCCTTTCATTATTGGCTGCTACTTGAAGGTGCACAACAGTAATTTTACACACCGTGATGCGTTGGAATGTGCTTTTCTGCTTGGGGCAAAATCTGGGCACAGCTCTACCTTTAAGGCTAAACCTAAGCACAGACGGTGTCGGGGGCAAGCCCAGTCTAGCCCTCCTTTCCCTTCCATACTGTAGTACCCTTGGGTTCCTTCCTAACTTGGAGGGAAGCCAGAGCAACGCCCAGGGTGCCAGAGGAGCCTTATCAAGCCCTGCCTGGATAAGGGAGCTCGCCACGACTTTGTAACTGGAGAGAGAGAAATGAGGATTGGGTGGAGGGTTTCGAAGAGGGGGAGGAGGAAGAGGAGGAGAGAAGGGCGGGGAGGGAGGGAAGGAGGGAGGCAGGCAGGCCAGTGGCTCCCTTCCAGGAAGTCAAAGAAAGAGCCAGGGCAACTCCATCCGCAGCAACAGCCTCGCCAAAGGGTCATTTTCTTTGTTGCGCCTCGCTGTGCGCCATGGCCAGCTCCAAGAGACAAAGAAACGCCAACCATTCCTCAGGTAGGAAAGCCATCGCCCTGGAAAGGATCAGAACAAAAGGACAGCTCTGGAAAGGGGGCGCTCCTTGTCTCCGCCCTTCCCTTGCTCGGCTTGGCCCTCTGCACATGCACAGAGAGCATTTGCGCCCTTCTTCCAGACTGGAGATGCTCCTCCAATTCCGCCCCTTCCCGGCTCAACCCAGGAGTCCTCTGAGCAAATGGAGTGGTGCTACACTGTGGCCCCCACTTGGACTGCCACGCCTCATAACTATGCCATCGTGGGCATTGTAGTTTGGCAAGCTCTTTAGCCTTCCCAGCCTCACCAAACTGCATTCAGTTCTACAAGGTAGATAGATACAACCCCTGTCTCCAGCACGCAGTCTCCCATCATCCCAAGACAGCATTCATGCATGATGGATGAATATGATGGGGTTTGTAGCCCCCTATATTTGCAGGGCATCAGGTCACCTTATTTTGGGGGCATTACTTTCTAACAAGAGGCTGATCTCCCTTCAGAGGTGTGGACAATGCTCTGCTTCCCTGCCTTTCTATTGTTCTTCTTACTGGGCGCCTGCGCCTCTTCCTCCTTTGTTGCAGACAGTTATCCTTGGTTTGCCTTTGTCTTTTCTCTCCTTCCTGGAGCCTTTCTTTCCGCTTTGCCTTGTTGCTGCTGGGCTGGTTGGTACCTGGTCTCTCCCTGAGGGCAGGGAGAGGCTGCCTAATGGACACCAGTGGTTTCTTTCAGCCGGATGCAAAACAAGTCCGCCTTGGGCTAGCCTGTCTGATGGTAACTGGAGGGAACAGGTCTCTGCAAAGACAGGTTATGTGGCAGGCAGGGCACACAAAACCCAGCCTTTAACACCAGCGGATGATTGCAGGGGGATGTGCCTACACTATTCTGACTGTTTATGGCACCAGCCTTTTTATTTTCCGTCCAAGGTGCAGGCAGTAATGAGAATGTGCACCTGAGCCCTGGGTGAAATGAGTGGTGCCTGGAAACCCCACCCGTCCCCACAGTGTCTGTGCCATTTGTTTTCCACTGACAGAGGTTACAGAGTTCCCACCATCTTTAGCATGCCAGATTTCCCAGACATACAAGCTCTGTATTATTATTATTATTATTATTATTATTATTATTATTATTATTATTATTAGAAACACAACAAGATGAGTCCACAGCAGTCACTCTGCTGGCTGTTGTATTGGATCACATGTCGGACACTTCCCAAGTGTCTAGGACTTTATTATTATTATTACAGTAGAGTCTCACTTATCCTACCTTCGCTCATCCAACCCATTCTGTATTATCCAATGCAGTCTGCCTCCCACCCGGATCTACAGCTGTTTAAATACATTGTGATGTTTGGTGCTAAATTTGTAAATACAGTAGAGTCTCACGTATCCAACATAAAGGAACTGGCTGAAAGTTGGATAAGTGAAAATGTTGGATAATAAGGAGGGATTAAGGAAAATCCTATTAAATGTCAAATTATGTTATGATTTTACAAATTAAGCACCAAAACATCATGTTTTACAACAAATCGACAGAAAAGGCAGTTCAATACATGGTAATGTTACATAGTAATTGCAGTATTTATGATTTAACACCAAAACATCGCAGTGGATTTGTAACAGCTGTGGATCTGGGCAGGAGGCAGTCATTGGATAATACAAAACATTGGATGAGCCAAGGTTGGATAAGTGAGACTCTATTGTACAGTAATTACATAATGTTAACATGTATTGAACTGCTTTTTCTGTCGATTTGTTGTAAAACATAATGTTTTGGTTTATTTGTAAAATCATAACGTAATTTGACATTTAATAAGCTTTTCCTTACTCCCTCCTTATTATCCAACATTTTCGCTTATCCAATGTTCTGCTGGCCTGTTTATGTTGGATAAGTGAGACTCTACTGCATTATTACCCGGCCAGAGTAGCTCACAACCTTAAAAAGAAGGTAAACCTACAGAATATTAAGTAAATCTATACACACAATAAAAATGAAAATGTGTATGTGTGTATGTCACAGAGGTGCCTACTTCCACAGACAGCCTCCAGCCTCCACATACAGCTTTAACCCACAGTGCTGTGGAGCCACCAAAGCCCTCCTCCCTCCAAAGATGTTGCAGGTTATAGTGAGCACCACATCTCAGAGTTCCTTTCTCTCTTCATTGGTGTGGAATTTCCATGACCCTGCCATTGCCTCTCCCTTAACCCTTTCCTACCCTTTCCTATGCTAGAGAGGTTTGGGAAAAATTCACCATGATTTATAGGCGTTGTAGGGGCTGGGATGTATAGTTCACTTCTAATCTAAGAGCACTCTGAACCCCACCAACAATGGACCTGGAACTAATGTGGCACACAGACCCAGCACAGACAACTTTGAATACTGCTGGGGTTTGGAGGTGATTGACCTTGACCTCCAGGAGTTATAGTTCATCTGTATTCCATGAGCCCTCTGAACCCCACCAATGACAAGTCTGGAGCAAACAGACCCAATGCTGCCAACTTTGCATACTGATGGACTTTGAGGTTATTGACCTTGGCATCAGAGAGCTACGGTTCACCCGTATTCAGAGAACACTGAACCCAGCAAGTGACGGATATGGACCAAACTTGGCACACAGACCCAACATGGCCAACTTTGTATACTGACAGGGTTTGGGGATGATTGAACTTGGCATCCAGGAGTTATAGTTCACTCATATTCAGAAAACACTGACCCCAGCAGATGACAGACCTAGGCCACACATGGCACATAGACGCACACTTGGCACACCAACTTTGAATACTGGTGGACTTTTGGACTGATTGTCCTTGGCATATGGGAGTTGTAATTCATTCTTATCCAGAGAGCACTGAACCCAGTTGATGATGGATCTGGACCAAACTTGACACACAGACCCAACATGGCCAAATGTGCATACAGGCAGGGTTTGGAGGTGACTGCCCTTGGCATATGGGAGCTGTAGTTCACCCTTATCCAGAAAGCACTGAACCCAGCTGCTGTTGGGCCCAGATAAAACATAGCACACAGATATAACTTGTCCAACTGTGCATACAGGCAGGACTTGGGGGTGATTGACTTTGGCATATGGGAGTTGTAGTTCATCTATATTCAGAGAACACTGAACGCAGCAGATGAAGGATCAGGACCACACTTGGCACACAGACCCAAGATGACCAACTGTAAATACTGGTGGGGTTTGGGGAAGATTGACCCAAGATTTTCGGGAATTGTAGTTCACCCACATCCTTACACATTTTCTAATGGGAAGAGTCATAAAAAACAAAAGCAAAGATTGATTTTTTCTTAGAAATAGTGTAACATATGACCTATCACCATAAAACAAACAATGCCTTTTTCAAGTAACCTGGGCACTACCAGGTCCCCAAGTTAGTAAACAATAAAATAGAAATAAATGTACTATTGTTAAAATAAGCAATGGATTCATGTTGCAGGAAAGGAGATTTCATCTAAACATTGGGAAGAACTTGCAGACAGTTAGACCTGTTTGACAGTAGTATATGCTGCCTTAAGAGGGTGGTGAAGTTTCCTTCCCTGGAGGTTTTTAAACAGAGAATAGATGACCATCTGTTGGGAGTGGTTTGATTGTCTATTCCTGCATGACAGGGTTAGACTGGATGGCCCTTGGGTCTCTTCCAGCTCAGTTAAAATCACATTAAACAGGTAAAATTGTTAAAATAATTGAAACACCATACATAATCTCCTGGCTTGTTAAAAACGTCCTGTTTTAAAAGCCTGCCTGAATAAAAAGCTTTGGGCTTGTTGTTAGAAGGACAACAGGGCAATAGCCATTCTAGTCTCCCTGGGAATGGGGTTTGAGATCTGGGGGCAGCTAGTCACCCAGAAGGCCTTCTCTTATGTCATCCACAAACATGGAGGGTGGAATAATGGTGGAACTGAAAGAAGGATTTCAGAGCCTGGCCTGAGGCATATAGGGCTTTATAGGGGTTATAAAGCCCTCTGCAAAGGAGATACAGAAATATTGGGGGTGAGGCTCATAGACATAGTAACTTCTCACCACCCATTTGGGCCTCCGTGTGTTCAGACAAATGCCCAGGTGGTGGTTTGCACCAGATTTAAGAAACACTTTTCTAAAACTGCAGAAAGGTATCATAATAATCAGACTTGAGTTTAAAATCAAAAGTTTAATCTATCATAGATTAATTTCTCCCCTCAGCAGCGCATAATGTTCCTCCTCAGATACTTGCTCCCTTTGAAATTTCACATGCTAGAGAAGTCTCAATAGCGAGCTCATTGGAACTGAAACAGAAAGAAGCAAGTAGGCCAGGGGAGCAAAGGGTAATGAGTCCTTCTGGAAATTTCATTTTTTAATATCCCACTTTTCTTCCAAAATGAGACCCAGGGCAGCTCACAATTCATTAAAATGGAACAGAGTTAGGAAAGAACCCTTTGAGATATCCCTGTTGCCTTTTCCTATGTCTGGATTAGGCAGACTACATTCAGTGCACACTTGGCTCCACTTGTCCACATAGATGGCAGCAAAGATCACCAGAACAAAGTCCACCTATAAAGTCTTGTTGCTTTAGATAAGCAGAAAGCAGCACATAAATCAAGGTGTATACTATTCAAGCCCAGGCAAGCAATCAGGTTACTGACATTGGGAGTTTCACCCTAGGAGGAAAAATTGCTTTCCTTTTCAGGCACGCTTCTTTAAAGTCTGGCACATATTGAGATACAAGGCATATTATTGACCACATTTAAACACTTAAAATCATCTGCAAAGTCTCCCACTCCCTCAGTAGTGGTGCCATACATTCTTAAAGTCTGCCACACAGTTGTTTGTAGCAGGGCACATAGCATGTTGGCACAAACTTTATGGATACAGTCTTTCTAATAATATTATTCATGCCGTGACAAGTATAACTCTGTTAAATGAAGTGACCATTACTGTACAGAAAACCAGAGAAAATAAATTGTTCAGTTTAGACTAACTACACCACTTCTTCTTCTTCTTCTTCTTCTTCTTTTTTACAACTGAACTCAAATGTGTGTTACAATAGAAAGCAATAAATATGTGGCTTTTTCTCATAGGAGAAATCCATGTGGATAGCAAGAATGAGTTGCAAGTCAAAGGTAAGTACTTGACATTTGTTAACAATATAATTGGAAGTTAACGTGTTAGTGGGAACAGAAGAAAGAAATAGGTGGGAGAAGGAAATTATCCCACAGAAGAATATGGGGATACTCATGAAAGAGCAAAGAGTCAAAATTAGTTTGAACCAATTATGAGGGTCCTTGAACGGTTCTTTTAAAGTTCAAACTAAAACTCAAAACAATTTCACTGACTCACTGACAAGGAAGCCACCAACAACCAGTAGCTTCAGTCATGATTTCAAGATCTTGATAATAAGCAACAGTATGTTGTTGTTTTTTAAGAGTAGAGTACAGTATTTATTTTGTTAGTATGTAGGAACTTCTGGGGCAGAAAAGATCCAGGACGCATTCCAACACACAGTTGCCTGTCATAAGTTTCACTGATGAAATGTTTTCAAAACAGGGTGTCTTCTTTTGGATTACAAGTCATAGATTTTGGAACAAGTGTTCTAAGCATCTCAATGCAAAATTCATAATGCATATTCATATTCAATTGGTTTAAATGTAAATAATGTATGAAATGCCTGCATGTTATCAAAAAAGCAAATTGGAAAACTGGTGGTTGCTTATACTTGAATGCTAATTTCTGATATTTCAATCGACTGTCCTGGGGATGCTTTTAACTAATAGTGGCTGTTTATATCCAAGGTGCTCCCTGCTCAAGTTTTAATAATGCTGTATTTACTTGGTTTTACCTGGTTTTCAGTTATGCAGATGGAGCTCACAGTGGTGCAATGGGTTAAACCCTTGTGCTGGCAGGACTGCTGACCGACAGGTCATCAGTTCGTATCCGGGGAGAGCGGGTTGAGCTCCCTCTGACAGCTCCAGCTCTCCATGCACGAACATGAGAGAAGCCTCCCACAAGGATGGTAAATCATCAAACATCCAGGCATCCTCTGGGCAATGTCCTTGCAGACAGCCTGTTTTCTCACACCATAAGTGACTTGCAGTTTCTCAAGTCACTCCTGACATGAAAATAAAAAAATAATGTAGGTGCTATTCCATGCAGCATCTTATGTAGCATTTTAAGGGCGTATCTTGTCATCTATATATGTAGCATTTTAATAATGTATATAGGCTTTTAATTGTGTATTTTATATTGTATTTAATAATCTGGTTTTTATATATTTATTTGTTTGCATTATATGTGAAAGACCTATGGTCCAAGCATCGAATAAACTTGAACTACTTGAATGCACAGGGCTCATCCATGTTTTCAATTATTTTTTGAATTGTAGATGGAGAGCAAAACCTCACAGAGACAGATGCCATAGATGAAAGGTAACATTCTTTATTGTTTTAGCTATATTCCTGTATCTTATGCTCTTTGTTATTAGAAACCACATGCCAGTAATTTAGTGGCTCTTTTTATAAAATGCTATTTTGCTCCATGATATGGTTCAACCATAAATATTTTAGAGGGCATTAAAATGGTGCCTAGTGAAGGATTCCATTTACAAAAATACAGTTGTTTATCCATATAGTACATATTTCTTTTGCCTGAGAATGCATAAATATAACTTTTTTTTTTACAAAAATGCAATTTGACTTGCAAAAATACATTCATTGAAAACAGGGTAGCTAAGCCTAATTTAGACCTGCATGAAACATAACAACTGGAGTCTAATATGCCAAGTGTTGCACCAGCACATGTACTCCCTTGTCCTCTTTCTGTCAAATGGTTTTGAATGTACCAAAGCTGTATTAGGGGTGCCTGAAATATTGTTGTAATATTTCCAATTGTGCTCACTGTCAAGCAACCAATAAGTGATAATTCATGATTTTTACACTATCACTATATTGGCTAGGAACCTAATTGTAGAGTAGAATTGTTGAAAAGTTCAGAGATGGATGGGTACAAAGAAAGAGGGAGGGAACTTGAAGTTAGCCTGTGTTTTTTAGTTTCTTCTTGAGTAATAAATTAGAGAAACTTTGTCACAAGGGAAGATTGCTCTTTTAGGTGCATGAGGGGCTTCTTGCTACTTAGCGAATTTCTTGGTCTAGTGGAACTACACATTGACTCTTAAACTCTTAAACTGTTCTTGAAACTCCATCATGTTTCAAAAACAGCTTGGCCTGTGACACTGCTGTTTTGGAAATATAAAGTTTGATGTGTCACGCAAAGTGCTACAGGTCTTTGAATCCTAGCTGTCAACGTCTTCAAACAGATTCAGCAGCAGCAGTGACATATGTTGTGTATGAGTAAGAGAGTAATTGCATGTGCTAACTGCTGTGTTTGTTTTTTAAAAGAATGAACCATCTCTTTGATCCAGCAGCAGAATACAAAATGAACCACAAGAGAAGAGGACTTGCTCTTATTTTCAATCACGAGCATTTTTACTGGCACTTAATGTTACCAGAGAGACGTGGCACTCTTGCTGATAGGGAGAACCTGAAACGTGGGTAAGGAAATATTTGTTTTCTAGAAAGCACATTTATTTACGTAATTGGAAGTGGGAAAAGTGTAATCCAATTCAATTGTAATTTGTAGAACAATAAAGAGCTGACGTGAGTTTTTGTTTAATACAGAGTTGCCACATACAAAAGACGAGATAACACAACAGACATCTCCAGAAGTGTAGCACACTAACTTTTTGTGTGTGTTTAAAGTAAGTTATAAAATAGCCAGTCAAATTCAAGTGCTACATGAGCCCTGAAGTGGTTAGTTGGCCTGTTACAAGCCATCATCTCTGGCGTTATAGATTTGCCAATACAGGGACAATAAGATAGTCCTATATTACAGAACTGTTACGATGATAATAGAATCGGAGATATTGAGTAAAACTACTACTAGTTCCAGTGGACTGGAACTCAAGGGGCTTTTGAAGTTCTTGAGATGCTCTAACTATTGGCAATCAGAAAACAAGTCCTCTAGAGCAGGAGTTCTCAACCTTTGGGTCCCCAGGTGTTTTGGTCTACAACTCCTAGACATCCCAACCAGTTTACCATCTGTTAGGATTTCTGGGAGTTGAAGGCCAAAACATCTGGGTTACCCACAGGTCTAGAACCACTGTTCTAGACCATCTGTACAGGGACACCCAGCTAAAGCACTACTAAGAGATGGACCTCTGTTCTCTGTCTAAAGACCACCAATGAAGACCTCAACTACAAGGCTGCTTATCTTACTGTTGAACAGCCCTTATCATCAATTTATTTATTTTATTTATCATGTCAGGAGCAACCAGACATTTGTATTACATTTTAACAAAACAAACAAACAAACAGACAAAACACAAAGTTTGCAAGCTTGGTAGTTGATTAAATGTCTTTTGACCAGTATCTGGTCACTTGGAGTGCCTCTGGTGTTGCCGCAAGAAGGTCCTCCATTGTGCATGTAGCAGGGCTCAGGTTGCATTGCAGCAGGTGGTCTGTGGTTTGCTCTTCTCCACACTCGCATGTCGTGGATTCCACTTTGTAGCCCAATTTCTTAAGATTGGCTCTGCATCTCATGGTGCTACAGCGCAGTCTGTTCAGCGGCTTCCAAGTCGCCCAGTTTTCTGTGTGCCCAGGGGGGACATCAATAAATACTTTCTACTAGACTTGAGGTGGAACCTCTTTCCTCTCCCTTCAATTTGAATCCATTGGTTTGAGTCCCATTCTTTGGGCTAGAAGAAACATATAACTTAGTTGTTTGATAATACCATATGAATAGTGCTAGAACACCTGTTTGTCATTTGCTGTATATTGACAAAGCTTTCTGCTTCCCAGTTTTTTAACATTGGAGTATTAATATACTTTAAAAATAGAGCAACTACTGTATATACGCATGTATACATCAGTATCATGTACAAGGCAAGTTTTGGGGTCAAAATTAGAGATTCTGATAGGACCCACAGATAAGTCAAAGGTTATTTTGCAGAGAAAAGCACTGTGCTTGGTTGCTGTTGCCTCCATTTTCTTGCCCAGGCATTCAAAAAGGTATTTTGCCACTGTTTAGAAAAAGGGATGGTTCCCTTTTTGTTAAATGTTAAATATTAATTCCTATCAAAAAAAGCAACCACCACCACCTTCTTTGAGTAGAGTTGCCAAAGTTGAGAACTTAGTCCATCCTAGGAAATCCTAAAAGAAACAACAACTCCCTCTGCTGTCTTAGCTCTCCATGGAAGGTGAACCACCAAAGAGCCACCTCTGCTGCTACTGCCATCAGAATTTTTGTACCAAAGCATTCAAAAAGGCAGTACGTGGTACTAGGGTGGCAATTCAATGCTGTGAAGGATAAGCTCCAGTTTTGATAAGGATGAAAGTACAATACTTTCTTTGACCTGAAGATAAGTTGGCCCAATTTCTGTGGGTGGGTGTATATTTTTTAACGATTTCTAGACTTGTATATGAGTGCAGGCAGTCTCTGGTTTACAAACATCTGATATGCAAATGACGTGTAGTTACAGATGGTGTTGAGACAACCAGAAGTGAGAAAAATTTACCCCTAGGAAGGGAAATTTACTCCTGGAAGAGCTATCATGTGGAAAAGGTGTCTCTACTGAAGCTTTCTCACCAATCCTTGTTTCCACAACAAACCAATTTTTTCAAAATCCAGTTATCACAGGGACAGTAAGTGAGATGAAATCTACTGAACAGGGAAACAGACAGCAAAAACAACAACAACAACAAAACACACACACAAAACACCACAGGGGTGTTAATCCTTCCCTATGCCATCCAAAGCTTATAAGGTAAAGGTAGTCCCCTGACATTAAGTCCAGTCATGTCTGACTCTGGGATGTGGTGCTCATTTCCATTTCTAAGCCGAAGAGCCAGTGTTGTCCGTAGACACCTCCAAGGTCATGTGGCCAGCATGACTGCATGGAGCACCGTTACCTTCCCGCCAGAATACTGGTATAAATCAAAGCTTATACCAGTATATATATTACACTTGAAAAATGGACCTGTTCGACTTACAAACAAATTCAACTTAAGAACAAACCTACAGAACCTATCTTGTTCTGCCTGTATATACAGTAGGCACTTCCAACAAGTGAAGGATGTTGCTGTGGCTTTGTCCTGAGCAATCAATATCAGCAGAAATGGATCAGTTATTAGATTTCTTTCAGCTAAAGCATAATATTTAGATGGATTTGCATTATTTGACTAAGGATAAAGTGAGTTCCAGAACTGAATTCACATTACCCTGAATAGGATGCTAGAATGAAACTGTTCTGTTTGTAATAGCTTGACTGACCTTGGATTTGAAGTGAAGTGCTTTGATGATCTGAAAGCCGAAGAGGTGTTACAGAACATTTACAATGGTAGGTCGCTTTATAGTATTTGCTTAAATAGTATCAGCAACAAGTGTACTGCAGTTTGCTAGTGAACAGGTAACTTTCTTGGTAAAAATGTAAAATGCTCTCAGGAAATGAGGGTTGGATGGGGAATCCTTTGGCTCAGCTAAAGATTTACTTGCCATCTTAATTAATTGCTGCCGAATATCCATATTTTCACATTTACTGCTGAATGACTATATATTGTCCAGCAAATGAACCCTTTAGTACTGTTGGAAACGTAAATCAGGAGAACTCAGTGGACAGGGATGGAGAATGTAACCATTCAATTTCCTTAATTTTTGACTTGCTATAAGTGTTAAAAAAAAGGCCAATGGAACCCAAAACAATAAATGCCCATTTGGACCACCAGCATTCTTAAGTCACAATTAACCATTTTAATGCCTATGATCCTTGGCTTGGTGGGATAGGCCATGGCCAACCAAAATCTAGAGGAAACTGAAAATGGCTCCTATTGCATGGTTTTAAAAAGAGGGATTTGTACAGTTATGCTTTGTATTGAAATGGGATCCAATGATGTCAAAGTAATGTTTAGATTTTTCAGTTTTCTTTTGAATTCTGGAGTAATTGGGTTTCTTAAAATTTACTCTCAAGGTGAGCCAATGAGATTTGGTCCATTGCTACTTCACCAAACATTTATTGTAAAATAAACTTTGAAATTGCAACCTGATTGCTTTTCAGTGTCCACAGGTGAACATGATGATGCAGACTGCTTCGTATGCGTTTTCCTGAGCCACGGAGAAGATGACCATGTTTATGCCTATGATGCTAAAATAGAGATAAAGTCATTGACCAACATGTTCAAAGGAGATAAATGCCCAAGCTTAGTAGGCAAGCCAAAAATATTTATAATTCAGGTGAGAAAGGGGAGCAGTTGGACTCTTTATTTCGGTGGTTCTCAACATTCCCAGTGCCCCGACCCCTTAAAACACTTCCTCATGTTGTGGTAACCCCCCAACCATAAAATTATTTTTATTGCAACTTCATAACTGTAATTTTGCTACTGTTATGAATCATAATGTAAATATCTGATATGCAGGCTGTATTTTCATTCACTGAACCAAATTTGGCACAAATACCCGATACTGGTGGGGTTGGGCAGGGTTTTGAGGGGAATCGTTTTTGTAATTTGGGTGTTGTCATTTCTGGGATTTATAGTTAACCTACAGTCAAAGATCATTCTGCACTCCACCAGTGATGGAATTCAACCAAACCTGGCACACAGAACTCCCATGACCAACAGAAAATACTGGAAGGGTTTGGTGGGCATTGGCCTTGAGTTTTGGAGTTGTAGTTCACCTACATCCAGAGAGCACTGTGGACTTGGACAATGATGGATCTGAACCAAACTTGGCACGAATACTCAATATGCCCAAATGTAAAAACTGATGGGAGTTTGGGGAAAATAGACCATGATATTTGGGAGTTGTAGTTGCTGGGATTTATAGTTCACCTGCAATCAAGAGCATTCTGAACTCCACCAATGATAGAATTGGGCCAAACTTCCCACACAGAAGCCCCATGTCTTGAAGGGATTCGCTGGTGTGAGCATCCCTCCAGCCTCACACACTCTCCCTCACCCACACATGCGCACCACTGCAATGCTGCAATGCACCGAGCACGCCTGCTCTCCCCATCCCACTTGGAGTCTCAGAAACAGTTCTCCCAATCACAGCAGTGGAAGGCTTTTGGCGGGAGGATTCGCTGTCTGTTTCCAAAAGGAAGAGAAGGACAGGCGGAGAGATCTTCAGCCTTCTCTGCCAAAGGGGTTCCTAAGATCATCAGAAAGATATATATTCTGATGGTCTTTGGTGACCCCTCTGAAACCCCCTTGCGACCCCCTGGTTGAGAAATGCTTCTTTAGTTACATTGTGAGGTGAGATGAAAATTAATTGTATTTTGAAAATGCAAAGTTGGCTTTGCATCAGTGAGCAATATATTTCGGTGCCATCACATAAAAATAAGTTTTGTTGTTGTTCATTCGTTCAGTCATTTCCAACTCTTCATGACCTCATGGATCAGCCCACGCCAGAGCTCCCTGTCAGCCGTCACCACCCCCAGCTCCTTCAAGGTCAATTCAGTCACTTCAAGGATCCCATCCATCCATCTTGCCCTTGGTCAGCCCCTCTTCCTTTCTTCTTCCATTTTCCCCAGTATAATTGATAAAAATAATAGAATTTTTCATTTATTTTGATTCACATGTAAATAAAGTGATGAAGTTTGAGTGTATTGCCTGTTTCCAATTTTACTGGACACTTTCCATTATCTTCAGAGAGCATGAGCATTGTCTGCTGTGCCATAGAAATATGGGAGATGTGCTCTAGCATATCTGAAAGGCACCACATTGGGAAAGATTAACTACAATCAGTATTTTGGGGGAAATTAGTCCAGTATATTTGCACAGAACAATCGAGTAGTGAGCAGGGCTGACATTTGCTATCTTTTCCTCCTTTTTAGCAAAGGGTGGATAGATAATGGCTGTTTATGATTGTCCATTTATGGAAAGCTCTTTTTCTCTTGCAGATTAAGAAAGGCAATTTAGATTTTACCTGCGGTTTTAAGCCCTAGCTTATGGGTGAGAATGCAGACAATCAATGGAAGCAAATATACTCTTTGCAGCTTTTGTTCTTTGTTACCCAAGGTTTCCCAGGGAAAGACTCAACTCTCTTCAGAAAGGAATTAATCTTTGTAGGATGTATGTCAATAACTGGGGTTCGTTTCATGATAATTGTAATGTTGCCTAGCTATGATTCATTGCTTCAAAAGGTGTTTCTTCTAATACTAGGCATGCAGAGGAGATAAGCATGATGACCCAGTTCTTGCTCGTGATACAGTGGATAGCAGAAAAGAATCAGACATCAATGAAACAGAAGTTGATACTGCTGCAGTGTATACATTACCCGCTGGTGCAGACTTCCTCATGTGTTACTCTGTAGCGGAAGGTATATCTTTTATTTATCTATTTATGTCCAGTACTTACATTCTATCCTTCTCAGCTTGAAGGGGACTCAAGACGGATCACAGAACACATACACGGCAAACATTCAATGCCATTAAACAGACAGGACAAACAACAGATAGAGGTATAAGTTAGCATTTTCCCAACTTTAGCATTTTAGAGGGTGTGCTAGATTCAAGCCACAGGAGGGTGCTGTTGCTCCATGCTCAATGCTGAAGAGCCCTTGATCATAGACCTCCTCCTTCCTTTGATCACAGACATTTTTTCGTATTTCTTTTTTATGGTGCCGTAAAATACCTCCCCGCTTAAGCGGTGTCTAATTTCCCTACTCACAGCTGTTTTCAAACTGCTTAGATGGACAGTGAGCTGAGCTGAAGGTCGGGTACTCACCTTGAGCCGTACTTCGAACTGCCAACGTTTTAATTGGTGTGATCTATTGCTGCTGTGAAAAGCCTGGCTGGTTTTACTTCTATTTACTTCTACTGAGCTAAATTGGCTAATTACCTTCAAAACTTTGGGAGGGATTTTATTTGAAGTTAGTATTTTGATACACTTGCATTATTTTTGTTTTGGTGAAAGGGTGCACACATGTGAATACAAATGGATATTGCATTCATGCTTTTTATGTGTTAATGTCCAAGCCTTTATGTATTTTCTTAAGAGTAAAAAGAAAGGGAGAAACCATTCCTTCCAGGAAGGACTGTACCAAGTCAAGATATTGATGTGTACACATAATCTCCCTATTTTTGCAGAAGAGAGGCAATTGTGTAACTTACTATGTGAGGCTAAAACTCCTCTGGTTATGACATTCACTGTAAGATTGATACAGATTTCTCCTTCATCCTGTCCAAATAAACTGTGTTCTTATCTTAGTCCTGTCCACTGGATTTAGCAGAAAAAGTCCTCATTCCTGCTAACCTTTGTGTGAAGGTAGTCTGCATTCCTATTTAGGAGTGAAAATAAATTTCATATAATTCAGCAGTCTGGCAAAAGCAACTATTGCATCTCTTAAGGCTTGCTCAAAGAAGAAATACATCTTACCATGAGAATTTGCATGGAAAAATACAGCAGAAAAGAAGTGCCCTTATATTACAAAATGTAAACAACTGCAGTGTCCCAAATTGGGATAAAATATATGCACAAACATAGACTAGACCAGCAATTCTTAAAGCCTCCCTACTTGCAATCTCTTTTCACCTGAGAATCTTTTGCATGACCCTGGCTATATAGGTATATAAAACATATACTGGTAACCAATCAACATTTGCAAGGCTTGTTAAATATGCGGATTTTCCTTTGTAAACATTACACAACAGATTTGTGTAAATGTCTAAAACAGAGGTGATGTTCAGAATTTTTTTTACTTTTTGGGACCTCAACATTGAGCTAAGGGGACCCCGTTTGGATTGCGACCCACAGTTTAAGAAGCAGTGATCTAGTCAATGGGGAAGGATGCAAAGTACACTAAATAAACAAATATGCAAGAATAAGAGTATGAAAGAGGTTCTATACAAACTTCTCTATTAGTTCCATAACTCAATAAAGACGGGTGAACAAAGAGCATTTCTGAACAGGACAATAGTGTGGTGGGTACTCCATTCAATGGGTCTTGGAGACTAGTGTAGGATGCATGTCCTTTATGTCTGCATGGGTGGTTGAGATAGTGACACCTGTTTTCTGATCGTTCAGTGAACACAAAGTTTGCTTTACACACAAAATTATTTAAAATACTGCATATAACATTACCTGCAAGTCATGTGTACAAGACTGTGGTGCACAACTGTCACCCTCCAGGGGTTTGGGTTTCCAACTTCTAAAAGCCCCAGCCAGCTTGTCCAAACATCAGTAATTCTGGGAACTGAAGTCCCAAACCCCTGGAGGGCCACAGATGGTGCACCACTAGTTTAAGATATGACATATAAATGAATTCCAGGTTTAGGTCCCATTTCCAGGATATCTCATTATGTATGTTATGTAAACATTATGTATGTTATGTTGATTTTATTGACTGATATATAATTGATTGTTTTTAACTGTTATAACTGTTGTAATTGCTGTTTATATATGTTTATCTGTATTATTGTGTAGGCATCGAATTGTGCCTTTTGTAAGCTGCCCTGAGTCCCCCCTCGGGGGTTGAGAAGGGTGGGGTAGAAATAAGCGAAATAAATAAATAAATAAATAAGCCTTCCAAAATCTTTTTAAAAAATCTCAAATCCAGAACACTTCTGGTCCTAATCTTTTCAACCTGTGTCATTTTTTCACCATAGTCCATAAGTGACCTTCAAGGATTCATGAAAAAATACTAGTATCTACTGACCTTTCTGTTCAGGTGATGCACCAAGAGCTGGCTTAAGCAAAGGAAGGAGATAACTTTGAGTTGAACTGTATTATTTGTCTCTTTTATTAAAGCAGCCCTGCTGGGTGTTTTTTGCTCTTCTAGACTTGAGACGTGAACTTGAGGAACTGTTTTGTAATGTGTGCTGTTGAAGAGTGAAAAATCGAAGTAGCTATTAATCATTCATGTTCTGGGAACAAGCCTACCACAGGAGTTTAATGGTGCAGTTCTAAGCATAAGTTCAGCTGAGGCCAAAGTGAAAACTGCTTTAGATCATAAGATAATTTGCAAGCTTTTCCATGATCTAGACTTAGCACTTAGACTTAGGGGGTGCGTCCAAACTGTAGAATTAATAGTTTGACACCACTTTAATTGCCATGGCTCAATGTTATGGAATCCTCGGATTTGTAGTTTGATGAGGCACCAGCATTCTTTGGCAGACAAGGCTAAAGGGTTTGCAAAACTACAATTCCCATTATTCAATTGCACTGAGCCATGGTAATTAAGGGAGTGTCAAACTGCATCAGTTCCCAAATGTGGATGCACTCATAGCTAGCACATAGATGCCTTCCGTCTTGTTCAAAATACTGGATGCAGATCCAGAACGACGTCTCACCCCCCAACATCAAAACTTTTGTCTTGTTTTCTCCTTCTCAACAGGGTATTATTCACACCGGGAGACTGTAAATGGTTCCTGGTACATCCAAGATCTGTGTGAGATTATCAGACGACATGGTTCTTCCCTGGAGTTCACCGATTTGCTGACGATGGTCAACAGGAAAGTATCTCACCGCAAAGTGGATGTGTGCAGAGATAGTAAGGCTATAGGGAAAAAGCAGATCCCTTGCTTTGCTTCAATGTTAACTAAGAAGTTGTATTTCCGCCCCAAATCTAAGTAGCTTAATAAGAACGTTGTCTAGCTTTTTTAACTGCTTCCTTTTTTGCTGTCAAGGACTTATCCAGTCAAATACACAGCACACTTGAATTATTTAGGCTGTAATTCTGTACACATTTATCTGGAAACAAGTCTCATTAAGCTCAGATGAATCTTGGTGCTACGTATGTTTAGATAATGAGCACAGCTTTATTTAGTTCTAATCACTGTACATATTTGGTCAATTTGGGCTGTTTCTAACATGGAAACATTAATGGCAGATGCAAGCAGTAAAGTTACAAAACGTGACCATAACTTTTAAATGTTCCCAGTATTAAAGTTGCAAAATTTGAAATAATTTTATCAACAAAGCTACCAATACAAATTCAAAATAAAAATTTCATTTGTAGGCGCCCCACAAAATTTAGTATCTGTTGAAGTTGTTTGATTTGAAATTAACATTTGTGCTAACCTTAGGAAGGTTTTGAAAATTAAATCACTTGAGTAACAAAAGAGCAGCTTTTTTGACCAACTTTTTTTTTGTCGTGTCAGGAGCGACCGGAGAAACTGCAACTGCTTTTGACCAACTGCTTTGCACTGAATTACTGTTTGTATCACATTTTGTAACTGAACTTTTGTACTTTTAAACATTTTTGGAAGTTCTGTTTATATAGGCGAATCTGTATATTAGGGATCACTTTCCTTATCTGTTGTATTAAAGGGGTCTCTTTCCATGTTTTACCTTTAGCAAGTGCCACCTAAAAATACTATAAAAGATTTAATTATGCATTGTCGAATGTATTGTCGAAGGCTTTCATGGCCGGAATCACTGGGTTGTTGTGTATTTTCTGGGCTGTATGGCCATGTTCCAGAAGCATTCTCTCTTGATGTTTCACCTGAATCTGTGGCAGGCATTCTCAGAGGCTGTGAGGTGTGTTGGAAACTAGGAAAATGGGGTTTATAAATCTGTGGACCATGTCAGACTACACGGAGGAGCCATTGAAATCCACAAGAATGTGGACAATTTCAACAGAAAGGAAGAAACCATGAAAATGAACAAAATCTGGCTACTGATATTAAAACACTTTAAAATCATAACAGTAAATAAAGAACAACACTCAAAAACAGGGGAATTCCAGACAAGAAACAATCAGGGCCAACTAATCATCTCACAACAAAGGATTCCCCCAGGCAGTAAGAAGCCATACATTGAAAACTGCAAGGCCATCAAATGCTAATCAAGGTGGCCAATTGCTACATTCACACCTACCTCAAACAGATAAAGTTCTTTCTCCCCTGCTGGATATTCCACAGATATATAAACCCCATTTTCCTAGTTTCCAACAGATCTCACAATCCCTGAGGATGCCTGCTACAGATGCAGGTGAAACGTCAGGAGAGAATGCTTCTGGAACATGGCCATACAGCCCGGAAAACACACAACAACCCATTTAATTATGCAATTCGCGTGGCTACTGGGAGATTTTGGCATCCCACTGCTCACTTGTTGGGCTTTCCAAAGACATCACCAACAATTTTTAAACAGTGCTTGGAGATGCACTTTTTCCAGGACTTTGCTTCCCATTCCAATTCTGGAGAGGATGACGTCGGCACAGTTAAGTTGTGTCCCACAAATTTTGGTATTTTTTAAAATATCATTTCTTTTTTGTATATGGTACATGTTTATAAATGACTGCTGTCTGTGTATTCGTTCGTGGATGTGTAGATTATCGGATATTTCCAAGAGACTTTCTGTGTAAGACTTCCATCAGAAAAATGCCTCCAAAACTATAATGTCTTTTTATTTTCCTTATGAAAATTACATTCAAATAGAGGAAGTCCCAGAGTAAAATAAACAAAAACAAAACTTTTTTTTGTCTCTTTGTTCATCAACAATGGCTCAAAACTCCAAAATTGGCTATTGGTTCCTTCTTTGTTTACAAGAAATAAAATATATACATGGAAAGTTCAGATTTATGTGTAAAACATGAAAAAGAAATCCCAGTTATTAGAAGTTCACAATTTTTGTGGTAGATTTTTCCTTCTGAGGGGGAAAAAACACACCAAACTGTCCAAAATATCCAGTTGCTGATCTTAACAAAGTTAATACATTCACAGGTATATGAAAAATTAATGTTTGTCATTTATTTCTTCGATTGGGAGATGCAATTTTAAGGGATTCTTCAGACGTTTCAAGGATTCTTCCACCTGTGGACATAAGAGAAGAATTAAACTATTATGCAGTCTTCAGATTCTGTCAGCCTTGTAACAGCCCACTATATTTCCTCTGGAAAACACATGCTTTGGATGGAAAACATTTGGCACTCTGCCCTAATGTGAAGACCATACAGGAGGCTGCCAACTATTGTTTGTGTCTGACTGAGAAAGAGAACATCAATATATGAGGTTCTTGTTCTCCCTTTGTTTACTGAATTTTAATGGAGCCTCAGCTTTGGATAACTTTACCAATAGCCCAAAATGCTTGAGATAAGTACTTCTGCCTTTAGAGGAAAATAACTTTGCATTAGAGTTGACCGTATTAGCTGTGAGTGGGTCTCATGGCTAGTTATAGAATCACTGAGTTGGAAGAGACCTTGTGGGCCATTCAGTTGAGAAGCAGGAAAATCACCTTAAAAGCACCCCCAACAGATTACCATCCAGCCTCTGTTTAAAAGCCTCCAAAGGAGAAGACTCCACCACACTCCGGGGCAGAGAGTTCCACTGCTGAACAGCTCTCACAGTTAGGAAGTTCTTCCTAATGTTCTGGTGGAATTTATTTATTTATTATTTAGAACTTTTGTATCCTGTTCTTCTCTACCTCCGTAGAGGGACTCAGAACGGCTAACAGCAAAATTCAATGCTATACAATAAATAGCATCATAAAACAACATACAATAAACAAGTTCTAAAATAAATATAAAATAATTCATCACATTAAAACAACATCCAACTCAGTCCAAAATGTTGTGGCCAAATAACTCTTAGTCTATATTGAATCATCCGTCAATCTGCAAATGCCTGACTCCACAACAAGGATTTTAGCTGCTTCCTGAATGACAGGAGAGAAGGAGCAGATCTAATCTCGCCGGGGAGAGAGTTCCATAGCCGGGGGCCACCACAGAGAAGGCCCTGTCTCTTGTCCCCACCAAATGTGCCTGCGAAGGTGGTGGGACCAAGAGCAGGGCCTCTCCGGAAGATGGTTTATAGGGGAAGAAACGTTCAGACAGGTAAACCGGGCCTGAGCTGTATAGGGTTTCGTAGGCTAAATCTCCTTTCCTATAGTTTGAAGCCATTATTCTGCATCATAGCCTTCAAGGCAGCAGAAAACAAGCTTGCTCTGCCCTTCCTATGACTGTCCCTCACATATTTATGCATGCCCATCATGTCTCCTCTCAGCCTTCTGCAGGCTAAACATGCCCGGCTCTTTAAGCAACTCCTCATAGGGCTTGTTCTCCAGACTCTTGATTATTTTAGATGCCCTCCTCTGGATACATTCCAGTTTGTCAACATCTCCCTACAACTGCGGTGCCCAGAATTGGGCACAGTATTCCAGGTGTGGCCCAACTAAGACAGAATAAGGGGGGGGGGGGGTAGCATGACTTCCTTGGATCTAGACACTATACTATTTATGCAGGCCAAAATCCCATTGGCTTTTTTTTTTTTTTGCCGCTGCATGATATTGTTGGCTCATGTTTAACCTGTTGTCCACGAGGACTCCAAGATCATTTTCACACGTACTGCTATCGAGCCAGGCGTTCCCAATTCTTCACATTTTAGTTTTTCTGTCTAAGCGGAGTACCTTGCATTTGTCTCTGTTGAACTTCATTTTGTTAGTTTTGGTCCATCTTAGTTATGATTCAGCTACACTCAATCCACTGATATTACATCAACTAATTAAATCAATCAAGGCATACACACACCTTGATTTTGTCATTTTATACATTATTGCATACAATGGGTCCTGAGGATCCATGGATTTTGGTATTCATGGGGGTCTTGTATCCAAACCCCGGTGGACACAAAGGGCTCAATATATCTCTAAAATTTGAAATGGGAAGAGAAACAACACACTGAAAGAGCACAGAAGAGGCTTTTCAAGCACACCACCACTGGGTAAATGATGTGCTGAGGATAGCAAGGAAAGCTATTGACTTTGTAAATGTGTTGTGCTGAATCTACACTGGATGCTTGGCAGATAGATAGGAAAATAAATGTGCCGTGCAGAATGGTCCATTTCCCTTCCTTGCTGATAAAGCTATCGACAGCTGCCACTGGCAGCAGAGTCATGACTGTAAAACTTAGATAGAAAACTTTCCTAAAGTTTTCTTCCCTGCACCAGTTATTTGGCAGGAGATCACAGGGGCAGCTTGGCCATATGATTTTTGATTTTCCTTTTTGCAGTTGGCAATGTGCTTTGGGCAAGTGGAAGTTAAAAGGTAGCAGGGATACTTGCAATTCTCAATGGGTGCGTGGGATCTTGATTTGCATGGCCAGGAGTATTAATTTTGTTTAAATCCCACTAAATAGATTCTGTTTCCATGCACAGCAAGGCAGGGGAGGGCTTGTTTATTTTGAAGCTAGGCAGATTTTCAATATTTATTCCCTTGACACTAATCACATCTGCTGTAGCAGATGGAAAGGGAAGCTATATCAAAGCCTGCAACATAAGATGATTCTTTCCTTTCCTGTCATGAGGTTGCAATCATGCATTAAGCTCACTTTTCAAAAGAAGACGCCTATATATCCAGTTGGCCCTATTTGCTGCAAATTCTATTTCCTCATAAAGGGAGGGGATGAACTGAGTTGTCAACCTCCCAAACTTCTCAACTGTGGCTAAAAGTGTCTTGACTGAAAGTTATGAAAATGGCCATCCGAGAAGTATGTTTATATATGATGTTGAAGGCTTTCATGGCCATTATCAGTGGGTTGCTGTGAGTTTTCTGGGCTGTAAGGCCATGTTCCAGAAGCATTCTCTTCTGACATTTTGCCTGCATCTATGGCAGGCATCCTCAGGAATTGTGAGGTCTGTTGGAAACTACGCAATTGAGGTTTATATATCTGGAATTTTCAGGGTATGAGAACTCTTGTTTGTTTGAGGCAGGTATGAATGTTGCAATAGGCTACCTTGATTAGAATTGAATAGCCTTGCAGCTTCAAGGTCTGGCTGCTTACTGCCTGGGGGAATCCTTTGTTGGGACTATGATGTCAGACTACACAGAGAAGCCATTGAAATCCACAAGCATGTGGACAATTTCAACAAAAAGGAGGAAACCATGAAAATGAACAAAATCTGGCTATCGGTATTGAAAAACTAAAATCAGGACAGTAAATAAAGAACAACATTCAGAAAACGGGAATTCTAAACATGAATCAATCAGGGCCAGCTAACACCTTCCAACAAAGGATCCCCCAGGCAGCAAGCAGCCAGACCTTGAAGCTGCAAGGCTATTCAATGCTAATCAAGATGGCCAATGGCAACATTCACACCTGCCTCAAGCAGACAAGAGTTCTTTCTCCCACCCTGAACATTCCACAGATATATAAACCCCACTTGCCTAGTTTACAACAGACCTCACAACCTCTGAGGAGGCGAAACATCAGGAAAGAATGCTTCTGGAACATGGCCATACACCCTTGAAAAGTCCCAGCAACCCTATGTTTATATACATGAAAGCTCTCTCTCTCTCAGATACACACAATATTATTCATAAAGCTTTCTTTTTTTCCCCTGCCCTTCTCTTCCTCCTTTTTACCTGTGCAAGATCTTCTTTTAATTTATTATACTGGTCCACATTGAATTTGGATTTCTTGGATTTCTTGTGAAAGTAGTGGAGGAACTGCCTGTCCCGAATTTCTGGGTAAATATAATCCTGAAGAAGAAAGGATAAGGTAACACGGAAACTGAGATCTAGAACATTACTGATAATATTTATATATTGTATCAGTTATTAGGAAACATGAAAAAATAAGTTAGATTTCAGTCTGATCCAAATTTAAAAGAACCCAAAAGACTGAAATACAAAGTATAATATAAAACAGATTAAGTACATTGCAGTAGTTCCAACTCTACTATAAAATACCTCATAAGGTAAAGGTAAAGGTTTCCCATTACATTAAGTCTAGTTGTGTCTGACTCCGGGAAGTGGTGCTCCTCCCCATTTCTAAGCCGGCATTGTCCGTAGACACTTCCAAGTACTGTGGCCAGCATGACTGCATGGAGCACCATTACCTTTCCGCAGAAACGGTACCTATTGTTCTACTCACATTTGCATGTTTTCAAAGTGCTAGTTTGGCAGAAGCTGGGGCTAACAGTGGGAGCTCACCCTGCTCCCCAAATTCGAACAGCCAACCTTTCGGTCAGCAAGTTTATCAGCTCAGCAGTTTAACCCGCTGCACCACCAGGAAAACGCCTCATAATACTTCTAAAAAGGTAATATTATTTTCTTTAAGTAGAATTAAAGATATGATCTGCACATTATACTGTATCTCTGGATACAGTTTACAAAATTTCTACCTTGGCTTTCTGCAAAAAGTCTAATTCTAAGATACGCAATTAGAAACCAGATCTTAATTAAAACCTAATAAAAAACCAATAAGAATACAAAGAACTGGCTGCCAAAATGAGACAAGCTTATATGTCGGAAAGTCTGCCAGAATAAATATGTCTTTGCTCGATAGAAAGCGAAGTACTTTTCAAGACATGGCAATGTGTTGTTTACCCCAAGGGATTACTCTCATTATCATTTTTCCATGAAGGCATTCTCTGCATTGGCCCTTTTATGAGACAGAAAGATTATAGGCTGCCTTTGTGGTCTCTTTCACATTTTTGGTTCTGCATCCCAAGATGCCACAAGAAGCCATAAACTGAATAAAACACATAGATGATATGGTTATGTGGAGATTATAAACATCAGAAGGCACAGAAACACAGACTCCCAGAGGCAAAATATGGCAAATTAACCCCTTGAACAGCAACCATACAACTACAGGAAGTCTGTGGACATCAGTAAAATCAGGATTTCCTTGCAATAATTGCTAGGATAGTTTCTAAATAAATGCTCACAAATATATTCTGACAGAGTTAATTAAGCATACTAATTGTTGCATTAAAACTCACCTGCTTAGTCAGTACAAAGTAAGCATAGAACGCCATGGCACTTCCATAGGTGATAAAATACGTGACGGGCTCCATGATATCCCATGAGTACACCCACCAGGTAAGCCATGCCAAGGCTCCACCTTGAGTCGACATTAAGGCTAAACCAATCCACAGAAGGCGAGAGGTCTTGGCGTCAACAGCTGCATTGATTCCAGCCTTCATCTAGGAACAGAAAATCCACATTACATCCCAAAGAGACTGGTGTTCGAGTGCACTCCACTTCCACAGAGTACACCAAATATAGAAGCGTATTCAGCAACCCACCCTTTCAAGAGGGATTTGGAGTCAGCCCAGCCACATCGAACTAATTTCCCAGGGACAAGCAAAGATGTATTACATTATGAAGTCAGCACTCACAACAGGAACCATGAGGAAAATTTTATACATTTCTTCTCAATGTTCGGGAAGAACATTGTGTTCTCTTGACCTCACCCAGCAAAGATATTTCAATCTTTTAATTAATACTGAAAACTTTAAATACTCAATCGGCTGAAATAATTGAAGATCGTGACAAAGTGGAATCGAATAAGAATTATTTTCCAGACCTGCTCTAGAGGTAGGAGCTCTCCTTTCAGAACTTCCATTTTTTGCATCAATTCTCTCTCTCTCCTCATTTGATACTCTTCTAAATGAAGTGCTGCAAATAATCTGTGAACCAGAGACTTGATATCATCCATTTCTGTAGCATGCTCTGTGCTTATTTTATCTGAAAAAAGAGTGAAATTCATGTCATTAGGTAAGTTTGGAGATTCTTGGCTACCTAGTCACCTCACCTGGCTTTTCCTTCTGTCCCTAATAAAGGGTGATAAATGCAAACTGAGTTAGGTTATGTGTAAACACCCACACACATTTCAGTTGCTGCTATTAATTTTAGAGGTCCAAAGTCAAGGTCAAGCTTCTTTGGAGATTCAAACAGTCTTGGAAAAGCAAGAAATAATTTTATTACTCTGTAGCTTCCCTCTAGCTTTTAATATAGTATGAAGAAATAAGACATTCATAAAAAATAACATGTAGTCATTTTTTTTTCATGTCAGGAGCAACTTGAGAAACTGCAAGTCACTTTGGGTGTGAGAGAATTGGTCATCTGCAAGGAAGTTGCCAAGGAGATGCCCGGATGTTTTATCATCCTGCGAGAGACTTTTCTTATGTCCCTGCATGAGAAGCTGGAGCTGATAGACAGGAGTTCACCCCGCTCTCTGGATTCAAACTGACAACCTTTCTGTCAGTAGTCCTGCCAGCATTGCACCACCAGGGGCTCCCAATGTAACCATTAAAATAAAACATTGTAAATAATGGTGAAAATATAATATACAGATTATAACAGGAAGAAGTGTTGAAATTAATTAATATTAATTCATTAATATCCAAGTTGCATCTATTTCTCAAAATTAATAAAAGGACAGGTATTTGAAAAATAAGCTGTTCTAGGAGGAGGATATGCACGATGCATAAAGGGCTCATCAGCATTCAAAACAAGACATGCACATGTGCAATTCCTGATTTTATATAGGAGTTCAGCCAAATTGTATAGAAAGGTCCCTTCAGAAGACAGCATAGCTTCCTCAGTTTCTAGCAATTGAAACACCAGCAGCAGATAATGGATTTGGAACTATTTCTCATCAATAGGATCTCGCTCATCTATATCATCAGAACAATAGGAGGCTCTGAAGGTATACATGCAAGGGTAATTCCAAAGCATAGAAACATCCAACTCTGAATTCCATAGGGACAACTTTAAACTTATCTTATGATTAATAGACCTAAGTCTCCAGATAATTCTGGGATGGAAAAAGTATTTTGTACCTTTCAGTGGAGGGTGTACGTTATATTCGGAACCATTCATGCAAAGTTTGAAGTCATTCATCAACAGAACTTCCATCAACACTGAAGTTGAAATCACATTGCCATCTGAGGGAGTAAACAAATGTTGTCATTGTTGTTTATATACTGTTTTTTTTCTCTTAAAGAGATTCAAAATGGTGAAAAGCAGTAAAAACAATACAATATACAGAGTGTTTCAAAATTATGGACCCAATTTCAAAGTAGCATATTTCTCAACATGTTATAATTACACAAAAAGTTACAAATTGTTTGATGAGTTATCAAGTTTTACTAACCACTTTGAGCCATTAATAAATCTAAAAAATGACTCCAGAAATGAAGAATATCTTGATATGCCTTATGTTGTGGAGCAACCCCCAGTGGTGCAGTGGGTTAAACCCCTGTGCCGGCAGGACTGAAGACTGACAGGTCGCAGGTTCGAATCCGGGGAGAAGCGGATGAGCTCTCATGCAGGGACATGAGAGAAGCCTCCCACAAGGATGATAAAAACATCAAATCATCCGGGTGTCCCCTGGGCAACGTCCTTGCAGACGCCCAATTCTCTCACACCAGAAGCGACTTGCAGTTTCTCAAGTCGCTCATGACACGACAAAAAAAAAACAAACCCCAAAGCAAAACCATCTCGTGAGTGAGTGAGGCTAGGGGTTGTTTTGTGTGTTACAAGAGGCATCAAGTGATAATCATTTGAAACTCTATGTCCCACCCTTTCAAGGGTTAAGAGTTTCATTCATGGACAGCTTGTGGTTGCAAATATACAGTGGTTTCAAAATAGGTCTATTGTTTTGAAATACCCTATACAGTTTAAAACCAAGCAGCTATAAACATTAAACAGATTTGCATCTATAACCCTGCCCTCCTGCTGTGCTGCTTTCCCCCACTCTTGTTACTTTCTGCAATTACATGAAGTGTAGCTTTAGAAATGCTGATTTTTCACTGAGTGGAAAGTGGGAGGGGAGGACAACTACCAATATGTCATTCCAGAAAGGTCAGACTTCACTGCATAAGGTTGGCTCTGGGATTGTGGAGCAATCAAGGACAAATGACAGGATTTACTCAGTAATAGTTAGGGACGCGTTCATTGTGGGGAGGTGACTGATCAGAAATGGATATTGAGAGAGCTTGGAAAGCAAAAATAAATGATTTTTAAAGAAACATTTGTAAAGTTAAGATAGGAAACTGTCTGAAAGAAAAATCTGCTTTATTGTTCAGCTTGAGAGGGGTGCCTTGTGATGGATCATATAGCACATAATTAATAAGCATGTAGACACAAGCTGATTGGACTTTTGGGCACCCACCTGGTTTACCAGAAACCACCTGCTTTCAAAGACATGACACTTAAATAGAAACTTAAGTACTACCTATGAGCACACCTCACCCAATCAGCTTGTACAGAAAAACCCACCTGATATATGACAGTTCACGTGTTATGTAAGACATAGAAACTTACTTTGAGAAAAGGTATAAAAGTCCACCCATTGTATGTTCTGGGTGGGCAGTTTCACTTTACCAGCAAGAGCAGGGACTGTTGACCTGTTTGGCCAAACAAATACATCTGGCTTGTTTTCACCTGAACCAACCTGTTTATTTTCTCTGCCTGCGCCTTCTCTGATCCCACATCTTCACAAATCCATTACAAACTTTGTGAGCCACCAGTGGAGGAGTCAGGAGAGAGAAAAAGAGTGGGGTCACTTAAAGACCCACTCCATGCTTGCTAGGAGGTGAAGCAGGAGCCACGCAACAGGGAAGGTGAGGAGAAAGGGCCCAGGATTCAGAGGGAGTCAAGGATATTGAAGGGTGAACTCAAAATCAAAAGAGGGGGCATGTCACACAAGTTTTCTGTGCCAATTTGCTACCTGAACCACAATGTGAATATATTAATATCATTTTAAACTAGCTTAAAAGAGGCAGTAATAAACATTTAACAACCAGTTTCGAATCTAGTTTGTTTCTCTGTGTATCTGTCACAACCCACACTGGCATTTCCTTATTGGAAGCCAGGCATCGGGATTCCTGCTGGGTTTCTGATTGCTGAAGCTGCAAACCAAATACGGCAGTTTTCTCTTTTCCACCCACTCTATTGGGTACGCAATCTGGTACAGTATCATTTAAATGGGAGAAAATAATTAAACATTTATATACTAAAATATTATATGTCTTCCTGCTGTTTGTTTTGATCGATGGCCAAGCATTTCCAAAGAAAATTGCACATGTAAAAAGCTGAAAAGTGTTAACACAAGTAAGATTTGAGAGTGTTTCTATATTCTGATAAAATACAAAATTCATGTTTAGGAAAATAAAAGTCAGGACTTGTTTAACAAAATGTTTACTTTAGAGCATCATGCAGATGCCTAAATGCCTTAAAGATATCCCATTCCATCTGATTTTGGAAACTCAGCAGGCTCTGTACTTGGATGGGAGACTACTAACAAATACCAGGTGCTATAAGCTATTTTTCAGATAAAGAAACTGAGAAAACTACCTCTGAATATTCCTGGTTTTAAAAAAATTGCATGAAATCAATGCGGTTGCCATAAATCAACAGCCAATTTGAAGGCATATGCACACGCCCTTTCACGCTTGTTGCAATATTAAATTCCTCTCTGCCCTAAAGCCTAAAAGACAATGGGGGAATAATGATAACAAGCTCCATCAGTAGTTCTTAGCCACTCTCAAGTTCTGCACGATAATTTTCCATTTAATGCTATGTGCACGTTAACTGCCAACCAGGCAGATGTCACAGCTTATAAAAAGTACAGAATAGAAAATGAAGCAAATCTGCAAGTGTGTCAAGAACGATCACATCTGAAGTCAGCTAATCTCTTCTATATAAATTGCTAGGGTGGATGTTAACACGCTCTTGTCCTTTCTAGCATAAGGAGCTTAGAGTGCAGTTCTCAAAACTATTTTGTGGAGTCCACGGACTCTAGTTAACACCTGATTTGTATGGCTGAGATCCTACATGAGATATAGGTATGAGTCGGGAACTCTGTCACTGTAGCCATTGTAGCCATGACAGATTCAAGCCCCCTGCAAACTATCTTAGAAGCTAAGCAGCCGCAGCAAATAAAGGAGATTCTAGGTATAGGAAAACAGGGTGCTAAACAATGCTGCATTCAGCTTCCTCCCAACAGTGAGGCACAGTGTGAGAAGCTGCAGCAGGGACTCCCTGTGGTGCAATCATTCTTATGGAAAGTACTTACATCTGCTCAATTTTTATTGCCTCTGGCAGCTCTATAGTTTTTGGGGATCTTGTAGGTAAGGTTCCCTTGGGTGCTATGCAGAGCTTGCAAGAGGTTACATTTTAAATACAACTCCCAGCATCCCTCAGCCCGAAGTTATGATGGCTGGGGGATTCAGAGAATTGTGGTTCAAAAATGAAACCTTTCCCCTTGCAGTCCTTCATTTCTATCACTGCCTGTTTCCTCAACAGCAAAATGAGTCAGTAAATGGGGAAAAAATCACGAATGGCAGGGATAAATTGTGCACACAAAAGAAAATGCCACTTATACAGAAAGTAAACAATATTAGAATTCAGCATGCAGTTATATAGACATGTTGTACTGTTAAATTTCACAGTGATATCAAACAATATTGTGTAAATTTTGGTACAGTTTCTTTAAAAAAATATCAATGTCATATCTTCTTATGTTGAGTAACTTATGGATCAGCCACCCACGACCGGTTTCGGCCTTACTTCAGGACTTCTGATGGGCTAAAATTATTATATAAATCAAAATTTTGCTACAATTACATACATATTGAATATCATATGCTAGAATACACTTAAAGAAACTTGGTAAGTCTTAATACTTGTTGTTGCAACAATATTTGTTGAACATATCCATTAAACACCATGCTTTGCAACACATTTAAGATACTTACAAAGTTATACACTTGAGAATTTGTTCTCCTTAGGAGATACAGGTTTTTGCTCAGTGGTATCTAAACCAAAGGAACGAAATGTGGCTGTAAATGTTTGAAAATTATCATGTTAAAGATGAATATTCTGTAAAAATATTCAGGTGTTTTACAAAATAGGATGTTGAGTTCTGGCTGATCCATAAGCTACTCAACTTAAGAAGATACGACATTGATATTATTTTAAAGAGACTGTACCAATATTTACACAATATTGTTTGATATCACTGTGAAATTGAACAGTACAACATGTCTATATAACTGCATGCTGAATTCTATTATTGTTTACTTTCTGTATAAGTGGTATTTTCATTTGTGTGTACATATTCAGGAACCCATTTATATTATATGGATAAATTATGACCAAGGGTTGTGAGATGTTGGGTTGGAAGGTTGCCTTTAGGAGATGTAGTCCAACACTGTTAAATCCTGATGAACCTTAATCCTTGATATGACTTATCTTACTAAAGGGCGGGGGGATGAATGTATAGGCTTGACAAAAAGCATATTGCATTATGCATGTAAGGAGTTGTGAACTACCTTTACTCTGAAGATGATAGCAGCACTATACCTGCAGTGAAGACTTCTACCTTTTCGATTGCATTGTCCTCCCTCTGTAAGTCTTGCAAGAAGTCTCCCACAGTCATTCGCATTGGCTTGATAGTAAACTGGCAGCGTTCCTTCCTTGAGGGCAACGTAAGGGTGATCACAGGCAGTCCATATTTATAATTTATGGTCACTTATGGGGGGAGAGAAAAAAGATAAAATTATGATCAAATTAATATAAATTATATATTAATTTATACACACTGCAATATACTGACTGTATAGCTAGGGAGGGAGATGATGCTGGATTCCATCCAGACATGCATAATTCATGCTGGGAAATCAGAATTGGCCAGACCTGTTAGCTATCGAGTTTCAGAATGTACAAGTCCTTGCTTCAGACGTTCCCCACATAAACTTCTGAAGATGGCTCCACTGTGCAATGCCAACACATCTTGTCCAAGGGGTGTGAATATTAGAGTCTAATATAATTAGTTGTTTTAAGTGACTTCATGTTGAATCCCACCTACGGCACCCCTATTTTAGAGTTTTCTTGTGAAGAGTTATTTAGAGGTGATCTGCCATTTTCTTCTAGGTAGAGAGTGTGATTTGTTCACAGCCACCCAATGACTTTCCATAGCTGAGTGGGTGTTTGAACCGTGGTCTCCCAGAATATTTAGTCCATCACTCAACCACTATATCAACAACAACATGCTTATTCAGTTCTTGTGGCTTTTTTCGGGCTATATGGCCATGTTCTAGAGGCATTTCTCCTGACGTTTCGCCTGCATCTATGGCAAGCATCCTCAGAGGTGACCTCACCTCTGAGGATGCTTGCCATAGATGCAGGCGAAACGTCAGGAGAAATGCCTCTAGAACATGGCCATATAGCCCAAAAAAACCCACAAGAACTGAGTGATTCCGGCCATGAAAGCCTTCGACAAAACATGCTTATTCTTGCTTCATGTTATTTATATTACACAAAAAGCCATAGATCAGTGGTTCTCAACCTGGGGTCCCCAGATGTTTTTGGCTTTCAACTCCCAGAAATCCTAACAGCTGCTAAACTGGCTGGGATTTCTGGGAATTGTAGGCCAAAAACATCTGGGGACCCCAGATTGAGAACCACTGCTTAATATTTAGGCTTCAGAAGAACTGGAGAACCACAAAAATATATAGACTCTTAGTTGTCAACCAAAATACAATGATTAAAGTCTATCTTGTGACTGTTCTTGTTGATTTTTAATAGTTGTTACCAGCCACACAGTTTTAATTGCTTAGAATAAACAGAGCGGTCTTATGCATACGCTGTGAAACAATGAGCTAATGTTGCACTACAGTAAGCAACCCCCCCCCCCCCATCGTTATCTTCTATACAGCTTGTTATACTTTGTGTAGAACAGGATGTGAGTTCCTTACTTGTCCAAACGTATCTCCCGCTATGAACCATTGCATAGGTTAAGATCATCGGGGGAGGCCCTGCTCTCAGTCCCACCAACCTGGCAAACGCGGCTGGTGGGGATGAGAGACAGGGCCTTCTCAGTGGTGGCCCCTTGTCCGTGGAATTCCCTCCCCAGTGACATCAGATAAGCCACCTCCCTCCTATCCTTTAGGGAACAAAACTTTTAAAATGGTTGTGAGACCAAGCATTCACACAGTAGATACAGTATGAAAATGAGTCTATGACTCTATGTGACAGACAATGGGTTGACCTGGATTATGATTTTGAATTTGTGTGATTTTAAATGAATGTGTTCATAATTGATGTTTTTAACTAATTGTTTTAATTATAACTGTTATTTATAAATTTGTGTCATGGCATCGAATGGCTGCCTGTTGTGAAGACACTCTGAGTCCTTCCTCAGGGGTGAGGAGGATGGGATTCAAATATGTGAAATAAATAAATAAATAAATAAATAAATAAATAAATAAAATGGTATGTGTACTTGTGACAAGAGCAGTTTCCATAGAACCCCTCACTGGACCTACAACAAATGGATTTCCCTGTTAGAACCATATCCAACAGGAAAGCTTACCATCAGATGGCACCAGTGTGCTATAAAGGGCTCTGTTGTGATGTCTTGTGATTCCAGTTCCTCTCAGGCACAGCATCTGCAAACAAGATTGATTATATGTCAGGAGTTTTCAGATGAATACATTCAAGATAAAGGCTGTTTCTAATCTGCCTTAGAGACCACTGTGTGGGTTAGAAGGCCAGATCTCCATTGAAGAATTCCCATTTTAGAACAATCTCTGTTAAAGCCTAGGCAGTATACAACAGACAGAAGTGTTTATTATGTTGTGGGAAGTAGCAACGAGACAAAGATCAAAGGTTACTGAGTCACTTTTATCCAACAGATTGCAAAGATTTCTGAAAGTTATTCTAAAATAAAGTGGTAATAAACACAAATCGGATAATGTAGGACTATAAAGTCACTGGTCACAGATAAAATTGTAATGGAGTAAAGAGAACAGGGGGCCAGGGGACAGTTCCATCTTGTCTCCTGCATATGTCATCAGTTGGGGACACCTCACTCCAGCACCAACTACTGCTCTGGGCCAGAATGAAAAGAGGGAGGGCCAGGGGATAGTTCCATCTTGACTCCTGTGCTATGCTAATAATATAATATAATGTAATATAATATATTGTATATACATACATTTATAATATTATAATGTAATACAATATAATATGATAGTATAATTATTTATTTTATATTACATGCAATATTACTAATAATATTACAATATAATGGTATAGTACAATATAGTAATATATAATACTGATATTGTACTATGCTAATAATCTATATATATATAAATGCTCTGTGCATAATGAGTACCTTAAAAACGAACGAACCAATGAACGAAATCATACCAAATTTGGCAACAAAACGTCTCACAACACAAGGAGTGACCATCACTAAAAAAATTATGATTTTGTCATTTGGGAGTTGCAGTTACTGGGATTTATAGTTCACCTATAATCAAAGAGCATTCTGAACTCCACCAACGATGGAATTGAACACAGAACTTGGCACACAGAACTCCCATGACCAACAGAAAATATTGGAAGGGTTTGGTGGGCATTGACCTTGAGTTTGGGAGTTGTAGTTCACCTACATCCAGAGAGCACTGTGTATTCAAACAATGATGGATATGGACCAAACTTGGCACAAGCACTCAATACACCCAAATATGAACACAGATGGAGTTTGAGGGAAATAGACCCTGACATTTGGGAGTTGTAGTTACTGGGATTTATAGTTTACCTACAATCAAGGAGTATTCTGAACCCCACCAACAACGGAATTGAACCAAACTTGGCACACAAAACTCCCATGACCAACAGAAAATACTGAAAGGGTTTGGTGGGCACTGACCTTGAGTTTTGGAGTTGTAGTTCACCTACATCCAGAGGGCACTGTGGATTCAAACCATGATGGATATGGACCAAACTCTACACGAATAATATGCCCAAATGTGAACACAGATGGAGTTTGGGGAAAATAGAATCTTGACATTTGGGAGTTGTAGTTGCTGGGATTTATAGTTCACCTACAATCACAAAGCATTCTGAACCCCACCAAGGATAGAATTGGTCCAAACCTCCCACACAGAACTCCCATGTGGGCCACAGCAACACGTGGCAGGGGATGGCTAGTATAATGTGTGTGTGTGTGTGTATGTGTGTATATGTATGTGTATATATATACACACATACATATACTGTAAGCTGCTCAGAGTCCTCTTCGGGATGAGAAGGGCAGCATATAAATTTCGTAAATAAATACATAATTAAATAAATCTTAAACAGAAAAATATGAGATGTAAATTCCAAGGTAAGATCAAGAAAGTTAACAGCAGGCTCCAAACATTACAAAGTAAAATTCAGAAACTCTAAGTCAAATATTATAAGGCTTCTCTAGCATGTCCCTGGGCTATAATAAGTCTTATCATTTCCATCTAACACTATCTGGTCTGAGGTTAATGGAACTGTAGTCTCAACAGATCTGGAAGGTATCAGGTTCAGCAAGATTGGTTTACACATTTTAAATGATACCTGAGATTCAGGTTTTACCCTTCACAAGTAGACAGTTGAGATTATAAACGACTAGGAAGACTAGGTATGACACTTTGTAGTTATGGGCAGAAAAAATGAGTTTAAATATAACTACATACAGTCCTGGTCCCCTTGGTGGCACAAAGGGTTAAACTGCTGAGCTGCTGAACTTGCTGACCATAAGATTGGCAGTTCGAATCCAGGGAGCAGGCTGAACTCCTGTTGTTAGCCCTAGCTTCTGCCAACCTAGCAGTTCGAAAACATGCAAAAGTAAGTAGATCAATAGGTACCGCTTCTGCGGGAAGGTAACGGCACCCCATGCAGTCATGCCTACCACATGACCTTGGAGGTGTCTACGGACAATGCCAACTCTTCAGCTTAGAAATGGAGATGAGCACCACCCCCCAGAGTTGGACACTACTAGACTTAATGTCAGGGGAAACCTTTACATACATACAGCCTAAGGCTTTTCCTTAGGAAAAGCAGTCTAAGTAATGATCAGGTTTGAGTGCAAAAGAGACTGCTACATATTGAATGCCTACTGTTGTTTAACCAGTTCTACATTCCCCAGGTCCCTCTCCTTCTCAAGCTGGCAAATGCATTTTAACTAGCAGCTCAGTGTTGCGGAAACTGTGAAAGAATAAGGACAAAGATAACACATGCTGGGGAGGGGACTTAAAGAGGCAGGGGACTTAAAGTGTTAGTGCCTAAAGGCCTGCCTCCTCTTTCTGCCCCATTGGTAAAGTACAGTATGACCTCTTTGTCCGCAGGACTGGCAATAATAATAATAAAACTTTATTTATACCCCACCACCATCTCTCCGAAGGGACTCGGGGCGGCTTACATGAGGCCAAGCCCGTGAAATACAAATACAACAGTACATCAACAAAACAAGCAAGCAAATAAAACAATATAAATAATATAACTAAACATATAAGCAATAACACACAAGAGATTTAAAACACTATGGCAGGGACAGATGTAATAGATTAAAATTTTAAAACACTGGGTGGTACAGAGTAGAGTATGTCTAGACACGGGGGTTTTAGAGAGTGATGTAGGGAGATCAATCCAACGGATAGATAAGGTGCTTCAGAAGGAAATTGGTCAGATCGGGCATTATTTCCTTTATTCAGGGAAGGCACACTGGAACAGCCACGTTTTCAAGCTCCTCCTAAAGACTGCCAAGGTGGGGGCTTGTCTGATATCTTTACGGAGTGAGTTCCAGAGTCAGGGGGCCACCACAGAGAAGGCCCTCTCCCTCGTCCCCACCAATCGTGCCTGTGAAGGAGGTGGGAGCGAGAGCAGGGCCTCTCCAGATGATCGAAGAGATCGCGTGGGTTTGTAAACAAAGGTGCGGTTCAGGGCTTTGTAGGTAAGAACCTGTACCTTGAATTGGGACCAGAAGATGAACGGCAGCCAATGGAGCTCCTTAAACAGGGGGGTTGACCGCTCCCTGTAAGTCACTCCAGTTAGTAATCTGGGTGCCGCCCATTGGACCAATTGAAATTTCCGAGCCGTGTTCAAGGGCAGACCCATGTAGAGTGCATTGCAGTAATCCAATCTGGAGGTGACTAAGGCATGGACCACCATGGCCAGATCCGACTTCACGAGGTACGGTTGCAGCTGGTGCATGAGGTTTCGTTGTGCGAAGGTCCTCCCAGCCACAGCCGACGCCTAGGCTTCAAGCGTTAGCGGTGAGTCTAGGATGACACCCAAGCTGCGGACCTGTGTCTTCAGGGGGAGTGCAACCCCATCGAGCATTGGTTGCCACCCTATACCCCGATATGGTTTATGATTGACCTGGAGGACCTCTGTCTTGTCGGGATTGATCCTCAGCTTATTCATCCTCATCCAGAGAGTCTTTTCCTTACATACGGTCGGTAGCCCTGGGGGAGGGTCGTGAGAGGGTGTCAGAGGGGCTGCCAAAGACTATCAGAGAAGCACAGTGTTTTCTGTTGGTCATGGGGGTTCTGTGTGGGAAGTTTGGCCCAATTCTATGCTTGGTGGGGTTCGGAATGCTCTTTGATTATAGGTGAACTATAAATTCCAGCAACTACAACTCCCAAATGTCAAGGTGTATTTTCCCCGAACTCCACCACTGTTCACATTTGGGCATAATGGGTATTCATGCCAAGCTTGGTCCAGATCCATCATTCTTTGAGTCCACAGTGCTCTCTGAACGTAGCTGAACTACAACTCCAAAACTCAAGGTCAATGCCCACCAAACCCTTCCAGTATTTTCATGGGAGTTCTGTGTGCCAAGTTTGGTTCAATTCCATCGTTGGTGGAGTTCAGAATGCTCTTTGATTGTAGGTGAACTATAAATCCCAGCAACTACAACTCCCAAATGACAAAATCAATTCCCTTACAACCCCACCAGTATTCACATTTGGGCATATTGGGTATTTGCCAGATGTGGTCCAGTGAATGAAAATATATCCTGCATTTCAGATATTTACATTACAATTCATAACAGTAGCAAAATTACAGTTATGAAGTAGCAACAAAAATAATTTTATGGTTGGGGGTCACCACAACATGAGGAACTGTATTAAGGTGTCGCAGCATTGGGAAGGTTGACAACCACTGTACTAGGGGATATAGTTTTACATTTCCACAGTTAATTCCAGGAATAGGGCACCTGGCAGGTACTGCACTGAGCACCTGGCAGGAATGTGGATTTGGTTATGACAATTTTGGGTTGATCTCTGTATAGAGGGGACATTTTCACAGCACAGATTTCCCCAGCACCTGTGAAGTCAACATTATGTTCCTCTGACCTAGTCGGGGTTGGTAAGAAGGCACAAAAAGGGAACTGACAAGTCAATCAGCATGATGAAATGACAAGACGCCTCTCACACTTCCATCCAGAAGAGAGAGGTTATAACCCATGAAAGAAAGAAAAAACATACAATTCTCCAGTGAACACAGTACCTGGAATGTCTGTATGAGGTGAAGAGCTAAACATGCACTTAAAATAGCACAGACCTATGAACAATATAGGGTGAGGAAACAAAAATGTAGCAAGATTGAACAGCAATTGTGA